AATCCACAGCTTAATAGAAACCCTCCACTGACAATTCACAAGCCACTTGTATTTCAACACTATCCCTGGATCTTTCAGGATTTTTCTTGGCTCTTAAAAGTGTGGCTCATTCTTTCTTCTTTTTTTTTTTTTCTATCTGCAGTACTCTACCTCTATTCTTTTTTAACTTTAGCTGTTCACTCCTGGTCATTTGACTATTTTACGATTATGTCAAGATTGCAACCCAAATGTAATAATAAGTATCTTGTATATTCATTTGTTGAAATGAAATGAGATTTACAAGCACTTGAAAATTTGATGAGAGTAATTTGGATATGATGGTTCTCTAAATATCTATTTGGAAAGGCTACTTGCAATCAGTTCCCTTGAAGAAGCCCCATATTCAAGGATTACTGGTAATACTTGATTTTCCAGATCTCCTGGGGTGTTTTCCTCAGAAAGCTGCAGTTTACTGATACAACCGTCACTCCGCTTCAGTTCTATTGGTGTATGGGCCACTACTTTTCAAGCTGGAACGTTGAAAATAGAACTGTGGTCCTTGCTTTTAAGGTCCTTGCTTCTGAGGCTAAGTGGACACATAGCTGTAACACAATGTGATTTGTCCTGAGTTGGCTGTATAATGAAAGCAGGGCGAAGTTTGAGGAAAATGTTATATAAGAGGTAGCCTGTAAATTAGGATGGAAATGGGGAAGGAAACCTACTCTAAGAGCTGCAAAGATTCTCAAACACATGCCAGTATTGAAATAAAAAAGTAAAGATATATGGTATAACCGGAGCCTGACATATTTGATGTATGGCATGTTTGGAACCAAGGAAACAGCCCAGTGTGGTGGAGTGTTAGGAGAGCAGTGAAGACCTGTAAGAAAAGGTAGAAATACAAGTCGATCACAGTATAAATGATGTCAAATTCTATACTAAGATATTTGAACTTTATCCATTAAAAGTTTTGAGTAATGGAGAGGCATGAATTTTTGGAAAGAGTAGTCTAGCAGCACAGTGGAGAATATAGTGGGGAAAAAGTGGAATCATTTCCTTGGGGATCCTGTACCAGGATGACTCTGAGGCTCAAACCAAACTCTCTGTGAGTGGTCTATAAACTTTTATTGTGATTGAAACCAAATAGGCTTAAGCATGCTCCTTAGGTACTTAAGTAACTCCAGACACAATAGCTTTATTATAAATCATTTCGTGTAGAACAAGATGGATAGATAGATGATAGATAGATAGATAGATATAGGTATATAAATGATACGTTTTGGGTTGTATTTGAAAAAAAATGTTCTGAAAAGCATGGTATCAACAATAATCCTGAGACTATTAAAGAAATCTAAGTGTAGTATAAAATTCAGCCAATGGCAGCACATATGAATCCAGAAACCACCTTCCCCTACCCAACTTTTCACCCTATTCATCTCATCGTTCTTACCATAGACTTAGCTTTATGTCTAGGTACTCTTGCCTTCTGCTGTGTGTAGTGATAGATTTCGGCCATGTGACTTATTTCTTCCATTTGTTTATATGCTTCTTAAAGATAGAAATAGTGTTTTATCCCTTCTTTGTAATTCTCCAGAGCCTAGGGCTCGGCTCTTTATCCAGCTGGGAGAGGCTGTGGAAAGAACCTTAAGTAAAATATATCACAAGATCCTGCTGTTCAGGTTATTAAGAATGATGAAAGATCCAAAAAGGATTCTCACTGGCATGTCAGCATGGAAAGAGAAGCAGATGTTTATTGAGCACCTTCATGTGCCCATCATCTGGAGGTAGATGCAGACACCTAAGGTTGGGACCTGAGCATACTATGGAGTCATCAATGGAGTCATCAAACCAGGATAAAAAGCTAAAGCTGTGAATAGGGGGAGGGAAAGGGAGAGAGGAAGGTACCGAGCATGGATACGATGCCGGCAGAGTATATACACAAATCTTCACAGCAATGGCACAATTCTGTGAAGTAGGTGCTTTTGTACTTCTTTCAAATTAAGAAACTGAGGCTCAAAGAGGCTAAGTAACGTTCTTTAAAATGTTTCTTACTATGAGTGGTGATGCTGATTCTAACCCACGTCCCCCTTATCTAGGGTGCAGTGCACTGAGTCTCCAACAGGAGGCGAAGTGTGACTGGCTTCCTCCTTAACAGGCTCCTCATTCTGGGTCACGCAACCAGAATCAAGTTACGATGAATAATATTTCTTCCCAGGATGTTACATTTTCTTTGTGACTCATATTTCTGTGATCAAGATTGGAAACCCGACTTAGCCAAGGAAATACTTTGCTCACAAGTCACAAGTATCCTGACTTTGGATAGGAGAGACTTCATGAAATAATCAGGGTTTTGGTCATTTGATGGGTCACTCTTCTCACCAAATACGTGTTTTAAATAATCTGACAAACTTGGTACATATTGTTCAGATGAAAGATTATGAACTTAATTGAGTTGGTTGAAATTTAAAGTCTGTAACACCAGAAAAGATACTCCTCTTGCTTTAGCAGTAAGGAAATGACCTTTTTATTAATTTAAATTCTCAAGTACAAATGTTAATATTGTCACAGAAAGGTGACATACAGAAAGATGATAAGTTTCTACTGAGCACCTTCTGATGGGCTCTGAGCTTTTCTGATGGGCAGTGACGTTATGCTTTATTACTCATGTTCATCTCTCATTCTCAATCACCTGGATCCCTCAGTCATCCTGAATACACACGTCAGATCATTCAGGATGTACGTAAGAAGGTTCTTGGACACTGCTGGAAGAACTGTCGCAAAATTGGCAGAACAAAATTCTCTTACTCTATGAAAAAAGCCATCCTGGTGTTTTGGTATGTTTTTCATTTAGAACTTACTGAATCTTAAGTATTGTACAAATCTAGTTTTATAAATTGGAATTCTCACATCAACTTAAGAGCAAAATGCCATGTAGTAGAACTGATAGCTTCAGTGACCACCTTGTGAATAAGAACGAAAAGACCCAGAATGACACACAGCCTGATGTGATCATTGATCTTTATGGTGGTGGCTTTGAGTCATTAAGGATGCACTGAATTATGTTCTATGCCTTCTATTTAAGGAAACATGGAGGTATGGAATTATTTTTAGCAAGATTTCCAACAAAAATGTTCAAAAATAATTTTTAAAGTGATTTTCTAAAAACCTTGAGCAAAACTTAAACTCTGTATCCACAGAAGAGATGTGAACATCGCTCCTTTGGCGTGTGCTTGCCCCAGGCACGGCGCGCCCCACAGGTTGTGTCTGATAGGAATCTTAGCGCCCCTGTGCTTGCTGAGGCTGCAGCTGTCAATGGCAGGCAAGTCTGCACATCTTAGTGCCAGGATTAGTCCCTGTGTGTTTCCAGCTTAGCCTCAGACTAAGTTTCTCTCAAAGTTGTTAATGTCTTTACCTTCCTTTTCCAATCAGCCAATTACAAACTCTTATTGGAGAGTAAAACGTATCTTGTGAGGGTTGAATGAAATCTACTTTAACTTCAATCACATCATTACCATTTGTAACCCTCGTTATGTGAAAAATATGTGCTAGGATTTTTTTTTACCACCTCTGGGCTCCAGAGAAAATAACATGTTTAGAAACTAAAGGAGCAGTGAATTGCATGGTTTTGATATTGTACAACTATTGTACAATACAGATATTATGCGATGGTCTTAATATCTGTGTAGTATCTGATGTGCAATATCCACTATTGTGCAATGGTCGTACTGATATCTGTGAAATATCTGCTATTGGGCAATATCTGCTATTGTTAACATCTGATACTGCCAAATGGTTTTAATATCTGTACAGCATCTGATATTGCACACTATCTGGTTCCAATTAAAATAAAAGAAGAATTTCTATTTAATTTGCTCTTATGACTATTAATTCGGTCCAGGTTGTGAACATATGATCTATGACTACTTTCCTGGGTATAGAACTCTGCAAAGATCGGTCCAGTTACTTACAATGACTGAACTCTATTAAGAAATAGAATTATGGGGGCGCCTGGGTGGCTCAGTCATTAAGCGTCTGCCTTCGGCTCAGGTCATGATCCCGGGGTCCGGGGATCGAGTCCCGCATCGGGCTCCCTGCTCCGCGGGAAGCCTGCTTCTCCCTCTCCCACTCCCCCTGCTTGTGTTCCCTCTCTCGCTGTGTCTCTCTCTGTCAAATAAATAAATAAAATCTTTAAAAAAAAAAAAGAAATAGAATTATGACAAGAGCCCTACAGGTTTGCAGGTCAATTTATAGCTCTAATGGATGAGTGGGATTTGGGATGTAAGGTGAAGCTACTCAGTGGCATGCTCCCAAAGTACAATCGAAGCTGAATTTCATAACCCTCTGTCCATTCCTATGCATGACTCACCAGTCTTATGTTGTAATTGATAGTTTTTTTCCATTTTTCCAATTTTTAGATTTTTATGCTGGAGCTCACTCTGAGATAACTTTTTCCAATAAATGGTCTGAAGCTAAGTTCGAGTTCATAAAATCAATTTTTAAAAAAATTAGGCCATTTTGCCAACGATTGAAAAAAAAAATCCTGTTTCCTCAATTATCCGCTAGACTAAACTCAGCATCTGAAATCTATGCTTCCATTAATATAGATATGCCAGCCAAAAATAGTTAAACACTTAAGTAACTGACTTTTTTTCTTAACTTACACTGAGATGATATTATTGATGTTATTTGTTCTTATAACATGAGTCTCATCACAGTTTCCTGGAATAAAATTATAAATTATGTATTACATCAAAAATAAAAACTATTTGGGTCTTTCAAAAGCTATATATGTGTGTGATAGCAAATTGTGTATGTATTACATAAAAACCCTACAAACTGCTTAATTTAACACATTTTTATGTATCTTTTTTTTTTTTTTTTTTTTTTTTACAAAAGCTGAACTCTCTCCATGTTTACAAGGCAGTCTGGGATAACAAGCAAAATAAACAAGAGCCTTTCTGGATAAGCGTGTCCATATGCCAATGTGGTTTAGGTCTCATTCAAGACACAAAACGCACCACCTCTGAAAAAATGCGGGAACATTTATTAAATGACCAGGAGAAATTCCACAGTATGTAGAATGGGAATAACAATACATAACTTTGTAGTTTATTTTCGATTTTTAAAAACAAGTCCAAGGACATTAAAATATCCTTTTCATTAAGATGCTCCATGAAATGAACTAAGAAAAACTGATGCAAGGACAAATTCAAGTTCGAATTTGTGATACAAATATTTTCGTCTTTTAGCAGGGCGAGCTGATGTGTTCACATCTCCGTTCCAAGCTGCCCCTTGCCCTGGGAGACACCAGTAGTTTTAAGGCACGTTTACGGCGCCTCCCCACTGCCGTGGGTTTGTAGGACCTATAGCCAGGAGCTCGCACCTGGGGGCCTCGCACTGTTGGCAGATTCCCTCTCTTTTCTTTGGAGTCTGTTCAACTGCTGTGGTTTTACTCAGAAGTCAGTGCTTTGCAGAGATGATTTCCTGAGACTGTTTGAATAGTCTTTCTCAGAAAACCGTGCCAGTCTGCCTGTGAACAGCTGTTCTCTAAGAGAAGATGCCTGGTCAGGTCATCGTGCTCGGACGTGGGTTCCCAGCCAGGCCTACTAGCTTCCTTCCCTCCCCTCCCCTTGCCCTTCTTACCCCTGCCTCAGTGACGTCACTGCCCGCATCTTGCCATCCCTTTAAAGAAGAGAACGAGATTTGGACTGGTCCAGTTAGAAAAGAATATAATGCTTCCCTGGGAACCTATGCAAAGCTCCCATAAAAACAATTCATATTTGTTGTTTCAGCAACGGATGTGGAAATGATTTTAAATAATAAACAAAACCAGACGGAATAATTCAAACTTCAGTAAGGTAATAATCTGTTGCGAAGACAGAAGTCCCTACTTAGGGTTACAGACGTGAAATTTGGGAACGAAGGTAACCTTGAATTTCTTGATTTGAGTGTACTTTTTAAGATCATCATCTGAAAAGTGCAGTTTTGAGATAGAACAAAAATGGCTTTTAATAAGGTCGGGCATGCTGTTTTGAGGCGCTAGGGTAAAGAGAAGCACTGTTTTATGAAGTGGCTCATGTGGGTGTATATATGCTGGTGTGCCGTGCTGCTGGCGATTCCGTGGTCCTCGTCTGTATACCACTGCAGGGAAAGACAAAGGTCAGAAGTAGGAAGTCAGCTGTCTTCTTTTTTAAAAAAACAATTCAAATAAGCCATGAGCACACACAGAATTAAAACATTGTTTTAGGGGGTATATATATATATATATATTCTAATGAAACTATCCAAATCCACTTTCAGATTTGACTCAAAGGACACTTAGAACCACATCATGCACAGGAGAGAATGTTTATCCCATTAAGTACCCTAGTTTTAATTAAGTGTTATCAAGTGTCAGATTTCTCCTACTCTCTGGAAGAGAAACTGTATTAAAATAAATTTTTTAAAAGCACTTTTTCCTAATATATGTTACCAAGGAACTAGAAAAATCGATTCCAATATTTCATATATATGTTTAACATGAGGTCAAAAGGCAAATGTATTGTTTGCAAACACTTTGATTTTTCACTAGAATTTTCTATCTGTATGCCTGACATTTATGAAAGAGTTGATGACCTGAGGCAAAAATTTATCAACGCATCCCACATTAAACAAGTGGGAAATCACTACCCGGCAAACATATATTATGAAGACATAGACTTTTAAAAAATTGCCTAATTGAAGTATCATATCTTTTCTTTGAGTAGTAGAAAAAGAAACCTCAAGCTCTTATAAGAATCTGACCCCAAAAGACATATACCAGGTTTTTTGTTTTTTGGTTTTTTTTGGTATCAAATAACTGCCCCACTCTGATTCAGTGGGCATCATTTGAACTGATCACAGAGCAAAGTGAGTGTGTGTGTGTGTGTGTGTGTGTGTGTGTGTGGAGAGTGAGGAAAAGCAGGTTTTCTAGCTAATAGAGGCAAGAAAGCATTTTATACAAAAATATTTAGTGCAACACACACATGGGCATACATATAAAAATACAAACATACATTTATATGTGTTATATATACACACACACAAAAACCATCTTTTTTTCTTTTTTCTTCTTGAACTGAAAAGATCTAGAGCAGAAAATGAATCTGACTTACTACCTAGAAACAGCCTACCGTATAGGCAACAACAGCTCTAGCCATTTCCAACTCTATAAAACAAGCCTAATTGTTTATTGCCTGTGGTCGTTCAACAGAAGATAACGTTGCATTTGCAAAAACTGAAGCATGCCGATTATTAATGACCCACTGTTGTTAGGATGGCTAGTAATACATACTAGACAGAAATGGATTTTCATATTGGAGCTGAGCTATTATCATGCTGGTTTCACTTTAGAATTACTCTGCCACACATTTACTGAGTAAGTGATTACTTTTGAATCCAAATAGGGAGAGACTGAACGACCACATGGGTAGGAGAGCACTGTTTTGACTCTCCCAAGATATGCAATATTGTGCTTCTCAACCCCCAAGTCTCTAATAGTTATGAACATTACTCTGTCTATGGCTTAAGGCTATCACTTCCAACTTCTCATTGAACAAATAAAAACCCTTTTAGTTCTGTCCCTGTCTCCCGGGACTGTTTGAGGAGAAGGAGCCAGGAGAGGGGGAAACCAAGACCCCACCAGCAAGTTCTCCCCTTTTGCACCAAGTTTTGCTATACCATTGCTTGGAAATCCACTCCAGCATCCACCAGGGCTTTGGAGATCTGAGCTGACTGCTGAAAGTGAACGTTATCTGCAAGGAGAGAAAGGAAACACAAAGTAACTAATAGCCGCTCCTTTTCTGAGAGGAAGAGTGGGAAAGGCACAAGAAGAAAGGGACTATTTGAAGTTCTAGGACTTAGCATCCCATTTAGCCCAAGACAAGTGAGTTGTGGAAAGCAACACTGTTTTATTGAAGTAAATGTAACAGTCTTGCCCCTCATGCTTTTGTTTTGTCAGTAGTGAAATTGCAAACCTGTCTGTGATACTAAAAAGTCTAATTAACTGAAACTCACCATCTGCTGTTCCATGAATAAGGAGGTACTCAACTTGTTTAAAATTTTCAGCTCTGCTCATGACTGTTGAATTCTGGAATTGGGAAAAAGAATGTCATTATTCAAAAAAAGATCTGCCATAAACTGATTTTTCACTTCAGTTTACAAAATAAAATGTTTTCAGCTGGGGCCCCCTTTGATACAAAATATAGCAAACCGATATTTAAGCAAATGCTGTCTCCATGCATGGCAGAATGCACAGCATGCCCTGTGCCTGGGAGACAGGACTGGAAAGGGAGGATGCCACATCTTCCTTGCACATGCAGGCGGAGGGCACCTGCCACCAGGGCTGCACGCGAAGCCCCTTGAGTCCCAGATCCCAGATTGGCTGTGTCCTATGCATTAGCACAGGGCAGAGTCTCATATTAGCAATGTATGTTCCATGGGCTTATGCTGTAGTTCAGCCAAAAAGTGTATTGCCATGGCAACCGTGTGTCACATGGTGCCATACATGCTACATTTCAAAGAGCCTGTACATAGCATTTGCAACTAAACATACTCTGCAATATGTCATATGAACTTTGGTCCACATTGCTAGGCAATGAATGAGAAGCAAGTATTACCTCTTTTGGAACAGATGTTTAAAACCTAGGCAAATGTAACATATGGGAGGGGAAAGGGGTGCAAAAGATCAAGCATGGCCTTAGAAAATCAGTGGGTTGTTGTTGTCTGCCTCATTCTGTATCAGGGAAAATCCTGCTCTTGGATCAAGCCATTCCCAAATCCGCCAGAGAAACGGGGCAAAAAATGGGGAGGTAAGCTTTTTGAAGACCGACCTCAGTGAGGCAGGACTTCTAGAATGGGGATGGGGCCTTGGATGAGAAATCCTTTGAAAGCACAGAACTGGCCATCTGATCTTGATTTGGGGATGTTTACAAAGTTGGGATGAAGGCAAAAGTGTCACAGAGGCATCATAGTGCCTTTGGGAGAGGGCGAGCTGGACTCCGCTTCTCTTGTCTCCTTATGGGTTGGGGAGAGGGAGGGCCAGTGGTTTCCCTATAGGTTTAAAAATCATCCAGCTATTCCTTCAGCACCTTGGTAAATCAAAGTCAACTTTATGAATGCCAAGTTTATGTATTTTACAGATTTCTTTGTAGCTAACACCAGCTCCGTATTTTTTGATGGGAACCCTGATGGTCTGTCAGGAAGGGGATAGGGCTAAGGTGTTGGATTTGGATTCTAGCCCCAGCTTTGACATCAGTGAGCTGTGCGCCTGGAGACATGCCGCACTCTGAGTCTCGTCTTCTGTAAAATGGGCATATTTGTAGGAAGCACTGCTCTATTTAATCCTGCCAACATTCCTCTGAGATAAGTCTACGGTGATCCTGCTTTCTCCATGGAGACCCCAACACTCAGAAATGAGCAACTCGCACTAGGTTCCATCTGTATGAAGTGTCGGAGCTGGACACAAAGTCTGACGGCAGAACCTCTTTTTCTTCCTATGCTGCCTGAGGCCACTAAAATTCCAAGCTGCTCATGATGTGGTCTTCCCGCAAAGGAACAGTGAGAAATAAGATAACTGTCCCGGAATTTGTACCGCGCAAGCACCCTGGGTATCCCTCCGGCCACGGGCTTCCCGTGCCTTCTCAGACTGAACTAATCAAAAGAGAGCCGGTCTGCCGGGCCCTGTGAGCTTTGGAAGGCGTGTTTTCTGACCGTGCAGCTGCCGCAGAGCCCAATGTAGCAGCAGAACCCTGAGCAATCGCTGCTCTCCGGAGAGGAAAGGGTCAAAATCAGTCTCCCTAAAGGAGGGTAGGATTCAGAGCTTGAGCTGCCAGACGCTGGGGCTCCCACACCGCTGCGAACATCCATAATGTGAGCCGCAGGCCCCAGCGCTCCCTGTTAGCGCACCGCCCACCCCCCTCATCCTTGTGGCCAGAAAGCTCACAGCCTTGCCCAGCCACTGCCACTCGCTCGGCCTCGGTCCTCCCCACACCGAACCTAGCGCTCTGCTCCCCCAACACACGCAACTGCCGCACCGGAGACCTGACCCACGCAGGCAGCTCCGTCACTTCGCCTCACCTCCAGAAGCCCCACGGGCCTTCCTGGCTTGGCAGCTTGAACAGCAAAAGCTGCTCCTACAACCTCCACGAGCCATAAAACTGAGAAATGTCATTGAAACATAGAGTAATAGTTAGGAGACATATAAATACGCAGGACAGTTAGCAAGGAATGTGATAACTACTGGAGTTTGGACCAAAACAGTTTCTGGCTGCCTTTTTTTTTTCTTAAATGGAGTGAATACAGGCTGAAAGAAGACAATTTTTATAAACAAGTAAAACCCTGAGCCTAAGATAAATGTTGTGATGTACACACTGTAGCTGTGATGAACTAGACATGGTGAGAAATGCAACATACTGAGAAAAAGACGAAAACTGTGATAAAAGTGTCATGATGCAAATTGTTTTACATTAACAATATTACACTACAAAGAAAGAAAGACAAATACTTTAATGCAGCACGAGAAAAATAAAACAAAAGGCTCCCCTGCAACGGTGAGCTAGGTGTGCCCTTTCCATGCACGCTTCCCCCTGCTCCCTGGGAGAAGTCTCCAGAGGGGCCTCCCGGCTCAAGGTGGACCGGCGGACCGGCAGCCTGGAGGCACACACCCGCTCTCAGACTCCCAGGAGGCAGAGAGCATTCCCCCCCACCCCAGCCCCCAAAGATGCAGCCGTGGCACCCTGCCTCTGGCACCACCCATCATTCCCTACTGGACCAAGAATCCTGGCTTCTCCATCAAGAGAGACCCTTGGCGGTCCACTGTGCGGAAGGCCACCCCCGAAGCCGGAGAAAGAGATGCACGCATTAACTGAAGATGTGGTTAATAATCGGAAATAATACCATCGTGCTATTTTAACCCACTAAAATAGGATAATCCCCATTTGCCTATCGATGGAAACAGAAATAGAAAAGGAAATGGATGACTAAGTTAGAAGCCGAATAGTCTATCACCAGCTACTAAAAAGGAAGCTCAGAGTGATAAATGGGCAAGGATGCAATGGTGTGCAGTTGGCACCCTCCCGAGGCTAGAAACTTCCGGAGAGCCCCGCTGTCAGCAACAGTCTGGCAAAACGAAGTGGGAAGGATTGGTCCAGTGGCAGTGCCGATTCCACAGCATCTCTGTGAGGAGCTTTTCCTTCAAGCCCTAAGAAGAACCATCTGTAGCTGCTTGTTGGATCATGCTGGTTCCTCAGTTACCTTCCAGCAAATAAATCTTTGTATTTTTGAAATAAAGAGAGAGCTGATAAGAGCAGGGAAGTACTGTAAGAAACAGAAGTTCTAACAATTTTTAAGCCACCCCTTGTGCCATCGAGGAACCATAAGGACGACTGGCTTCCTGAGGACGATGATGGCGGCAGGTGCCATGTTTTGAAAGCTTCCCTCAGGGCAGGCACAGGTGTCCCATTTAAGCCTTTTGGTAACCCCGTGAGGTAGGCTTGATGATCCCCATTATCCAGATGAGGAAACTGAGGTTCAGAGAGCTTAACGAACCTCTCCGAGCTCACGCTGCTAGTAAATGGTGGAAACCAAATTTGAGTAGAGGTCTAACTCCAAAGTCCGTTCCCCTTAACCTTACGTCCTAGTGTTCCTCACATCCCAGCCAACCACTAACTCATCACCATTTCCAGGCTTTTGTGGAGAGGGCAAATGGCCACTGGTCTAATGGACAACCCAGCACATCAGTGATATATTATGGGCGCACTGATTTCCTCTATGCATTGTCCTGCTTGCAACCCAAAGCTCATAAATAGCATTAAGTAATGCTATTCGGGGAAGCACCATTAATGCTACAGAAAACAGAGGCCAGAGAACATTTTTAAGAAAAAATTATTTCGACCCACTATATCGGATGTTTTACTTGTTTACATCTATCAAACAACTGTATCCGTGAGATGCCAAAGAAGAGAGCCCGTCAACCCGACAGGGGGCTCTACCTCAGTCCTCACCAAGCAACACTGGCTTCTTTAAAGATCACACAGCAGTCAACATTTTATCAGCACTCAACAAACAAGTTAAGGTTTGGCTTAAATCTGAAGGTCTCTCTCCCTTTGGCATATTCTGGGATAATAGAACAAATGTCAAATCAGTACAAGATGGCATATTTACAAAATTGCACCCTGTTTTGCATAACCTAACGATGCAGCAGTTCTTAAGGATTGAACATTTCAAATCTGCTAGCAGAAGACTGCCAAATCTATGACTGTTTCCTACACTTGCCAAAAGCCTATCAAATTTTGAGCAAAATGCAAAATAAATCTCCTCTACAAGTTAAATCAGTCCCTTCTGTGTGTTCCAGGCTGGCCTCTTCCCTTGGCAACAAGGCTCAGGACTTGGGCCCCATTTCTCTTGCCCTTGATCTTCTGCTTCTCTGCGGATTCATAAATTCATTCCCACCCCAGTCTCTGTCCTGCCTTCTAGGCCACCATTTGGCCTGCTCTTCCCACAGCCCTGCTTCCATGTTATCCGTCGGTTCATCCAACCTGCTTCACAAATCCCCCGAAAACCAGCTGTACCTGCTACTCATATGTGGTTGTGCTCTGCCTTGCTCCTCTCTGCAACCCACGGGGAGCGTCTCTGCTCTCCCTCTTTATCTCCTAAGTCTTTCTTTATTGGCTTCACGCAAGTGCCCCTCCCTCGCCTACCCATCAGCATCTACATGTTATGTAACATTTTTGTGCCTCAGTTTCAGTGTCAATAAAATGAAGATAATTAGAACACTTATCTCAGAGAATCTGAGGGAGAACTGAACCTAATAAACCATCTAAAGAGCTTAGGATGTGTCTGCCCGTAGAAGCAAGCACTTAACGAATAAATGAAAAAAATGAATGAAGTAAATGAAACTGGATTCTCCGCTCCCTCAGTTGAGAGGAGCTGGGGGGGTGTGTGTGGGAGAGGTGAAACCCTAATTTCTTGGCCACTTCTCTTCCCTGCCCTACATGCTCCGAAGGTACAAAATCCCTGGAGCCTGTCACAATTAGGGAACCACTTCTCTTTCCATACATAAGGGGCACTCTGTCATATTTGAGTTCATGCTCTATTACCTACTCTCCTTTATTTCTCTTTGATAATTTTGTGTTCATGTCTTTGCTCACCAACAAGGTAATAAACTTTTGAACAATTAAAATACCAGGCACTTTGCATGGGTGAGTGAAAGTTCACCATTATGTTAATTTTTTAAATAGGTTTAACTAAAAGACCTGTGATTGACCATATGAAAGACCACTTGTCAATGTTAGTGAGCAACACACTCCTCAAGGTGTGGTTGCAGTTGCTATTTGCTTTTTGCTATTGGGGTGAGGGTTTTCTCATTGCCTATCTGATTCCTTTGCTCAAATCTGCCACCATTTTGGTCTGCTGTGGACTGAGACTCACTGCAGAAAAGATGTTTCCATACTGCCTTTTAGAGTGCTCCTGCCTTGCCACTTGGCAGCAGGTGGGTGACTATCTACCAAGAGTCCCATGGGATCACTGCTCATGTCCCTGCATTGGGTCTGAGCCTTAGTCCAGGGTCTGCTAATCTATACGGCGGCTTTGTAAGAATAGGAAAAGGCATTCCTTCTGGTTGGATGCAGCCCCAGAGGTTCATGTCTTGGTGAATGAAGTGTGGACTAGTTTTCAGCAGTGCACAAGCTGAACAACTATACATGGCATCCCTACCTGTTCCATTTGTGTGTACGTATGGTTTCTGGAATTTCCTTTCCTAAATCATAAGTAGGACCTTTATTTCATGAAATGTGCTTCTCTTGGTGATGTGGGTTTCTCGGAATTCTTCCAAATCTGGATCATCAATGACCTAATAACGAATCTTTTTTCTCATGCATTTTCTTAAATTAAAGATCGTCTTCTCTTATAAAGGCTATAATCCTGGCTACTCTATTGATGATTCATTAGCTGCAAATGTAGACAAAGATCAGGGCCTGGCTTATTCCACGCTTTGGTCCTTCGTGACCCGGATGTCCTGCAGAGAGTCAGTGGGCCAGACGAAATGGGAATCGTTTTCAAAATATTTCCTTCTGACCCACAGATAGGCACCGGCTACTGAAAGCCTCTAAGGAATCGTCTTCTTTGTCTTTTCCAAAAGGGAGGGGGGAGGGAGGGAGGGAGAGAAGGAGAGAGAGAAATAAAAACAACCTGGGAAAGAAAAGTAAAAGATGGGGTCCAGAGGGGCAGCTGGGGCCTCGAGGAAAATAGAATCGTTGAATGTATTCTTGCCAGAGACAAAAGCACAGGCTTATTTAAAAAACAAAGGAGGGCAGCTTTATTCTAAAGCCTGCTGTGCCCCAAATATAGGCACTGAGATTCAGCTCTCCACACTCTGAGGAAGCAACTTACCAGGGTGGAAACAATTCAGTGAGCGGTGGCCTCCCTTTCCCTACACACCTTAACTCTCGCCCGCCCAAATCATTCCTCCGAGTAACACATTGGGAACCTTTAGCTCCCTGGTACTGGCAGTTTTAATGTGTCCATTGCCAGCACTGAATTTTGTGCCAAGAAAACTCGACTCCTGGCGTGGAAGGATTAAACAGTCCTCGGGTCCCATCTGTGCAGTGAAGCGCAAGAGTGACTTGGTGCACCCAGTGTGCGCCTGTTGCCGTTGGCAGGGCGAAGTGACTTCTATTTACATGACTACCTCCTGCGGCGAACACCTACGGGGAGAGACGAACATGGCCACCTCAGGGCCGGTTGGGATGGGGAAGCGGGGGATCGATGTGGGAAGGACGAGCCGCTGGGAGAATCTGGAAAAAGATGCAGGATGAAAGGGTAGATTAGGACGAATCATCCTATAAAGGGGAGGGCCGGCTGAAGAGGAAAGACCCTGTTGGCTGTCGGCTGACGTTCACGGAGAGCAGTAGGGCAGGTGCCGTGGACTTCCCTCGGCGTCGGGGTTTGGACTTGACCCTGTGCCTCTAGGTTCAAGGACTTTTCAGAATGGGATTTTTAAAATGAACTTTTGACTTAACATCCCCCGGGTTCTAGAGTCAGGGTTGGGGTCCTGGACTGTAAGTACATCTCTGTTTCAGGAGTTTTAGTACTTGGAATATTTGAGAAAGCCCTTCAGCAACTCGGCAAATACGGCATGCCACCGGAGGGATGGCTTGCAAAGGTCAGCATCCTGGTCAGGTTAGGGACAAGAAAATTCCAGATGTAAAATGAGCGAAGTGATGGAGACAGGCAATTTTTACAACAGTGTTTCCCTTCAAAAATTCTTAAATCAGGAAAGGTTTTGAGGTTTATACTTCATACTGGGTCATCTAAAGAATATAGTGTTGAGTAGAGATGTGAACAGTTAATAATATTGCAGAGAAGAAACGGGTGTACAAAATAACCGTGAGTTCAAGATAGAGAAACTGAAGATTAAGAGACATACAAGAAAATGTCATGAGAGTCAAAAGGGGATGCTAGTCTGCCGGGAGAGCAGTACAAATTTCCTACTAAGTGGTGATATAGGGGAAATGACATTCCAAGCAAAAGGCACAGAAGACAAGGGCATAAAAGGGAAAGGCCCAGAAATATTCAGAGAACAGTGGCTATTACAAGCGAACTGGACCATTGTAAGAAGGATGTTAAACACCTGGTTAAAGAATGAGGGCTGGACTCAGTTGAGTCACACGAAAGATCCGTGAAAGTGTTGTATGTGGGGCTGTGGGGATTCATCTCATGCCCCGTTGTGGTGAAGACAGGAGCAGAGAAAGACAAGCTGAGGGGACACCAACCGGGTTATTATTAGAAAAGCAGGGCGCCTGGGTGGCTCAGTCGGTTAAGCGACTGCCTTCGGCTCAGGTCATGATCCTGGAGCCCGCATCGGGCTCCCTGCTCGGCAGGGAGTCTGCTTCTTCCTCTGACCCTCCTGACCCTCCCCCCTCTCATGCTCTCTCTCTCTCTCAGTCTCTCTCTCAAATAAATAAATGAAATCTTTAAAAAAAAAAAAAAAGCAGATAGTCACGTGACAGCAGCAATGTCATGACTGATGAAGAAGGGAAAGGATGTTTAAGGCAGCTTATTGGATGTGGAGGAGAAAGAATGGGAAGAATTGAGTCCCCAGAGTATTATCGGGGACAACTGGCAGAAATGGGGACAACCTGATTACAGGACTGCTTGGTAGTGGAAGATGATCAGTGCATCTCACTGACAGGCTGTCGCTTTTCCATCTTGACTGGAAAACACACACGCAGGCGCCGACTTAGCCACATACTCCTCCCTGCTCCCCCTCCACCTAAGCCTTCCTAAATAAAGCTGACCTAAAACGAAACTGTGTATCCTTACGTTGCAAAACTAGAAACTTTATTTGAGTTTTACTGGGTTTTGATCACATGGCTTCAGAATCTATAGGAATGGTGGCATCTCATAAAAATGTACACATACTGCTCAGAGCGATGCATTCTTATGAAGCCCATGGAGTGAGAGTTGCGGCCCCGATGAGAAAGTGTGTTAACTTATTCTTGGTTTTGTGTTCCTTGCTTTTTGATTCATTGTCCTGAAAAGCGTTTTGAATTTCCTCTGCAAAATGTAACCATGGGATGACTGACCTTGTCATCGGCAAGTTTTGGGGTTTTCAACAAACAGGGCAGATCGACGCAGGAAAGTTCTGGAAGGGCCCGAGTGCTACAAAGGTCTCTAGGGGCCCGGCTACATCAGTGTGGCACCAGAGAGAGTGCTCTGGCTCGGCCACACTAGGACACGTGGCTGCCAATGGTGGTGGCTTCCAGGCCGTATTCCAGAAGCTGTAGCCTGTCTGAGAGCAACCTTCCACGTGTCCCCCATGAGCCAACCCTGCTGGAGGCTATGCAGTCAGTGTGGCTTCCGGGGCTCTTCAGGGCACTGCCCAACCGTACTCTTCACCTGCTTTACTCCAATCTTGTTTGGGCAAACGGTACCTAGCTGGCTACGAATAGGAAAGTTACAGGCTTGTACATACATCTTCATTATAATACCAGAGACATTTTAATATACAGCTCAAGGTTTAGAGAGTCTTCTGGGCTTTAAAGGAATATGTCGAATTTGACATGTTTTCTAAATGAAATTTTTATAATTAAAGTAATTATCTGGTGTTGCTTTGTATTTCCAAATGAATGCATATTGTGACCTATGTAGCATACGATAAAGACTGTAATTAATGCAGAATATAGTAGGGGAAGCTAGTGGAGTATCTCTAAACCACCTGTGTTATTTCTTTTTAACAAGAATTTTGTTGGAAATAAAAAATATATATTTTCTAGAATAGATACACGTAAAAATGTTCTTAAACAACTTATAAATAGGTTATAAAATGGATCTAGTTTCTCATCGCTTACCCTGTAATGGTCAAGGTTGTCTTCTGGAGTTGGGAGACCCATGTAACGTTCTGTATACACTGAGTCTGCGACGAAAAAAACATTTAAAAATAGTTAATTCATACAATAAACTTTTCTTTTTCTTATTGGGTTACTTTATGTGCTTTCCTATGTCGTAACTTGTGCGTGGGTCTGTAGCATCCCCCTCAGGAGTGTCTCTTTGAGATCATTTTTATTTGGCTTGTTAATGTAGCCAGACACCTGCTCAGACTCACGCCTTTCCATACTCAGCTGGAACCAGTGAGGGTAGAGGGAGATCAAACTAGATGATCTAAACCCAGTCAATAATCCATCTACAGAGGGCGCCTGGGTGGCTCAGTTGGTTAACCATCTGCCTTTGGCTCAGGTCAGGATCCTGGGATCCTGGGATCAAGCCCCACATCTGGCTCCCTGCTCAGCCGAGAGTCTGCTTCTCCCTCCACCTCTGCTCTGCCCCTCCCCCGTCCCCTCCCCGCCCCGTCCCCTCCCCTCCCTGTCCCCTCCCCGTTCCCCTCCTCCTCCCCCTCCCCGTCCCCTCCCCTCCCCCTCCCCGTCCCCTCCCGGACCGCTCCCCCTCCCCTCCCCTTCCTGTCCCCTCCCCCTCTCCTCTTCCCCCTCTTCCCCCCTCCTGTGCTTGTGCTCTCACTTGTGCTTTCTCAAATAAATAAATCTTTGAAAAAAAGATCCTTCTGCAGAAATATCAAATGTTATGTGCTGAAAAGTAAGGGCTCTTAACATTATCATTTGATCCTTTCAAACAATTTAATTAGGAAGTCACTTAATGCCTCAACTGTCTTGAATTTTTGGTCCTGACACAAGCATATGCCCTAATTTTCTTTTGGAAACCCCTTATAATGTTCAATTACTAGTTGCTTACTTAAATCATATTTTTTTGGCAGCTTAAAATTCAGTATAACGAAAACAAAGAATTAAGTTATCATTTATTAGCTGTATATCCCCATACTAGCTCAGCTACTCCATCACAATGCAAGGTAAACATTTGGTTTTGTTCATTCTGTGGCAAGCCCTCAATTGTGGCATGATAACAGTTGTGTATTGTGAAATAGATCACATCAATCTCTGCTGAAATGACATAAGCTTTTTTATCTATAAATATGGCTGAAAACAGGATACATAACTGGTTTGGCTATTTTGGATAATTAAACATATTTTTGCCCTATTTTTAAAAATTTTATAGATATATCCTAAAATATACACGAGAAAATGTACAATTTACTGTGGCTACATTCCAAAATAACTTTAAAAATCTTAAGTAATTGCTTTGAAAGATGCCCCCTCCAGTGACCAGATTATAGTAAATAGAGAAGTATAGAGTAATATGCTGTCATTGTGCTATTTAGGTTAATGGTTTGAATTTCACTGCAAATTGTACATGTAGTTCAATACTAATCTCATTAATTCTTTAAATGAATATATCATCTAAACAACAACCTTAAGCAACATTCTAACCCTTTTTGAATGACCGGCATCATTAAAAACTACATTGATAATGAGTGTTAGTTATTCCACATGTGCTCTTTATGCCTGTTCTATGGAAATCAAAATACTGTCTTTCAAAATGAATAACAGCAATATTTTAACCTTCTGATTAAAAGGAATATAGACTATATGTAATTTTATGTATCTAGAGGACACTGATATAGAAAATATAATATTTTAAAGAACATTTAAAAATACAAGATCTTCATAAAATGTTCATATCTTTTAACATTTAAAAATGAATAATTTAGGTTGGACATGTGAGAGGAGGTTTGAAAATAGCATTTAAGGGCAAAATAAATTTTTCCTGAAACGGCAGCAGACTTCAACTCTTCTTGCCCTAGAACATAATACCCCTTTCTTATTACGTTAATCAGGTTTACATTTGTGAGAAGATCTGAAATTTGTTTTTTCTTTTTTAGAGAGAGAGAGTGTGTATGAGAGTGTGTGTAGGAGCAGGGGGAGGGGAGGAGGGACGGAGAGAGAAGGAAAGAGAGAATCTTAAGCAGGCTCCATGCCCAGCGCAGGGCTAGATCTTACAACCCTAAACTGAAATCAAATGCCTAATGGCTGAGCCACCCAGACACCCCTGAAATTTTAGTAATAGGATTTTAAAAAATGCATAATACAGGTGTTGTAAATTTTTACAAATGCACCTTTGAAATACCATTTATGTATTCCTTCTATGTGACCTTTGAGAAAAACTGTTCAAATTAATACATATGTAAGAACTCTAGAAAGTGCCTATGTCTAGAAAATTGAGTTGGTCCAAATATATTTAATGAAGTTCTCTTATCATTACACTTCTAAACTCACAAAGATTGCTTCTATTATTTTATTGACCACCAGAGGTCTCCAAAAACAAGCTATCCAACGGAACAATTAGTATAAGCAGGAAAGTATCATATGAAAACAAATCCACTGTGTGCGGACTAAGTCAGAAGTATGCTTTCCAGCTTTTTTTTTTTTTTTAACAGAAAGAACAATATTTATTTATTTATTTATTTATTTATTACTTTTTACATTGGCTTCTCTCTCTTTTTTTTTAAAGATTTTATTTATTATTTGTGAGAGAGAGAATAAGAGAGAGTACATGAGAGGGGGGAGGGTCAGAGGGAGAAGCAGACTCCCTGCCGTGCAGGGAGCCCGATGCGGGACTCGATCCAGGGACTCCGGGATCATGACCTGAGCCGAAGGCAGTCGCTTAACCAACTGAGCCACCCAGGCGCCCCTACATTGGCTTCTCTTGACTTAGCCTTTAAAAAAGGGTTTCCTACAAGATTGGTACTACCATACATTAGGGCATAAAATATGTAATGAGCATATTTGTTTCAATGAGTCTATCGCAGAAAGGACTTGAGATGGGGTCTGAAAAGGTACAGGAAAATAATTCATCCTCTCACCACCTCTTTCCCCCTACTAGTGTTCCAATGCTCACTCTCTCCCCCTGGGGAATTACAGTCTTACACATGTATGATGCCTTATAGAATTATTTCTCAATGACAAAGAAGAGATCCTAGAGTGGCTTTCACTAACTTAGAGACAGTGGGGAAAAAAACCACAAACAACCCAGGAATTCCCCCATCCTTACTCTCGTCTTTCCACCCAAAGCCCTACTTTATTTGACCTTTACTGGAAGAAAAAGAAATACATGCTTCTTTTATTCTGCTAATATGTGAAGCCCAAAAACTCAAACTAAAATAAGATAAGGGTTTATCTGCAGAAATGTAGCATTAGGGATGCTCTGAAATTTAGAAAACAGAATTTGTTGATAACTAAACGTATAGATAACAATACCACAGAGCCTTTCGCAACAGCAGAATAAGTGAGATCATTCGATTATAGGTATCTGTAAAGCGCATCTACAGTGAATCAGCTTATTTCCTGTAGAAGCACTGCAACTCAAAAAGGAATGGTTTTGCCATTGGAGTTTTAAGGTCAACGCACTGTATCTTTTTGTACCTGAAAGTAATTACATACCATAGTACTCCCACCGTGAGACAGGTGCCACGGCTATCCCGCACTTGAACACGCCACTGCCGGCTCCCAGGACCATTGAGGTTACGTACCCTCCATATGACTAAGGAGTGGAAATGGTTATTTTTATGGAGGTAAAGGAATTCAGGACATATGGTAAGCGAGTCGCAGTTTCCATATTTCTCACATCTTTATATACTGTGCCTCTTTAGAGACAGAAAGCATGGTAGAGAAGGGCTTAAATTGGCCTTAATTGGACAATATCTCAAGACTATACTTTCAGAGCCCTGGTCCCCTTCCTTGATAGGTCTAAGGGGGAAAAGCATCAAAAATTTGCTGGGTAGTACTTAAAGAAAAAAAGATCAATAAACACTAGATCTTTACTGACTTTGACTCATGAGAAAAATCACCCTCCTTCCTTCTCTCCGGCTCTCCTTCCCCACCCCCTCGCTCTTTCTCTCCCTTCCTTACCTCCCTCACCTCCCTCCTTAATCATAGTAAGCGAAGATGTACGCCTGACTAGCAGGGACTCACCGCCTAGAGATCTAAGACATTTTATCGGGGTCTTCTTAGGTTAAAGATACGTGATTTTCATCTCCAAATATTCACATGCCAAAGATAAATTATCGCGTTCTGAATTATATTCACTAACTATATGGACACAGATTCATAGCCAAACAACTACTCACCCAGCCCCAAATTGCAATCCGCTTGTCATCCACAAATCCCATTTTTGAAAATTGTCTAAAACACATGGAAGAAGTCCATGAATTAGTATTGCACTGTGTATAGAAAACTAGGATAAGTACATAAGTACACAAATGTGAAACCCTGCCATTTGCTCTCTATTTCCTCCTGTTGAAATCTAAGATTAATTACGGCCAGCAATCAGATAAACACCTGAGATGGATGTATATCTTTTTTTTTTTTTTAACTTAAGAGCCAGATGAACAAGGTTTACTTTTGTTGGAGTCCATAAAAATTTTGTCTGTGTGTTTGTGTGAGTGTGTGTGTGTGTGTGTGTATGTGTGTATGATTCACAGAAAACAAATCCTGGCAGTTTTTTTTCACAGCTTTATATAAAAATTTGCAGCCCAGATGCACTTTTCTTTACATAATTGAATTTAAATCTCTCCAGATGTTTTTCAGTTGAAGACAGGCTGCCCCCACAATGGAGAAATAGAGGCGCATCTGGGTAGGGCTTCGGAAGGTCTCTGGGCCCCCTACCTGAGAACTTAAACACCATTCTCTAAATAAAACCCTTATTTTGCTGGGTGTTGATTAGTTAGCTCAGCACCATTAAGTAGGAAGCGATTTTTCCTTGATGGATTAAGAAGTCTTTTTGCCACAAAATTGGGCCCAGGATTCGTATCCAGTTCAAGAAATGAGAAAAATGTTTTATGCACCCACTTTTTAATCTCAGCCTTACATCAAAAGGTAATTTGTTTGCTCTAAGAAGCAATCTAGCATATGGGGCTCTTTAACTTGTAGTATTGATGGGGGGGCGGTGGGGACCCTTGCATTGACCTATACATGACTTTGGGAATGTTTGTGTTTTCCATTATAGATATATGCTTTAGGCAGCTCTGAGTTAAGCAATATTAGAAAAAAACTGAGTCGTTTTCAACTCATTATCTTCTCCCTGTAAACTTTTAAAACAGAATGCATATATGTATAGACATGTGCACCAAATAATGAGGGAACAAGTTGATAAACTTTACAGAATGAGTATATCCTTGGACTGAGATAAGAGTGTATTACTAAGCCCCAGAAACCTCTAGGTCATTTCCCCTTGCAAAAGGAAAAAATGAAATGTTTTCCTTTTATAAGATTCCAATTTGTGCCTGGTTTTGGACTTTATATAAAACGGGTCATGCAGGAGATACACTTTTGTGCCTGGCTTCTCTCATTCAACAGCCTGTGAGAGTCATCTACGCTGCTGTATATAGTTCTTTTTAGTTGCTGAATTAGTATCCTATTGCATAAATACACTACATGTGTAGTGTATTTATGTGTAGTGACATTAACTTTTTAAACTGGAGATGTATATTGTGGATACCCAATTCTATAATTTTGGATCTGAGAAGCCCTGGACACTCTGCCTTCTCTCACAGAGGATCAGTCTGGATAAACAAAATTTTAGTTTTAAAATATCACAGCCCTGGGTGCCTGGGTGGCTCAGTTGGTTAAGCGACTGCCTTCGGCTCAGGTCATGATCCTGGAGTCCCAGGATCGAGTCCCGCATTGGGCTTCTTGCTCGGTGGGGAGTCTGCTTCTCCCTCTGACGCTCCCCCCTCTCATGCTCTCTCTCTATCTCATTTTCTCTCTCAAATAAATAAATAAAATCTTTAAAAAAATAAAATAAAAAAAATAAATAAAATATCACAGCCCTACTCCTGAACCAGTTTATCCTCTGTCTCTAATCTAAACTTCTCTTTCTCTCTACTTTACTTTAAAGGAAAATAGCTAATTGTTAACTTTGGTGTAAGAGACTTAGGGATACTTAGTAAATTGTCCTCTTTTCTTCTCTTTGGTTGTTTCTTGTTTTTAAAGGCATTTTCCTCCACCCATTTCATCATTCACCATTCTTCTGCATTTCCTAGTTTATGATTTCATAACATTATTTTAAATTGACCACTTGTCATGCTTCCCTAGACATCCAGGCAGTTGGCTATAGAAACTCAAAGACTGCATTTCCCATTTACCAGTTGAGTGCCGTTGAATTGGAGCATGCATTTGAGACTCCAGTTAAGTTGGAGACCTCGATTCAGATTCTGACTTCCCCTGGCAAATTACCTAAGAGCCTGCATTTTTTACCTGAAGCATGGGGTACAGATCCCCACCTCATAGGAGTGCTGTGCAGTTCCCATGACAATTTGGGTAAAACATTGCCCATTACGTGATAACCATTATCTATCAATAACATCTCTCTTAAGCCAGACCACATCTATCTGTGGACTCATGACTGGAAAGCACAACAATGAGATGTGATTCATACTTAAGAAACCCTTATAATTGTGAGTGAAGATGGCTGTGCTCCACAATTCTCCCCAAATGGCAGAGGAACCCTCATCCAGACTGTAGGAGCCACTCCTAGGACTTGATAGCTATCCCATGTAACGTACAGCCTCCTACGCTGGAAAGGAACACTGGACTCCTTCGCTTAACCTTGACTACAGGGATGGTCCACTTGTCTAGTTACATGTTTACTCGGGGGTGCATTTATCCCTTAGTCTGTCCATGTGTTTGATGAATTTAGAGTCTCTGTTCACGGAAGGAGGCAGGTAACACATATACCAACTCCCTTTCTAGAGTCACAGAGAGGAATTTAAGACATATGTCCTTTTTAACCTTTATATACGTCTCTAATGACATACATTTTTATCTAAGTGTGGTATCTTCACTAAAAATGTACGCCAAAGATAAAAGATTCATCCTAGGACACTTTGCGTTCTTTCCACTTTACAACTTTAAAAATATAAATCGAGAGGGAAAAATCAGATGACCTTCAGATTCATCTCCGACTCACTCACCTGGCTGCTTCAATTTGATCTTCAACTTCAAATGTTCCCAGTCTTCTGTTGACTGCGTGCATGATCTTATCTCCTTGGTAACCACTTCCTCTGCCATCAAAGCTAGCTACGATAACGTTTTCTGTGCTTGCAAGGTAAGTAGCCCAGTTGAGTCTGAAGACAGCGTCTGCTTTTTGACTACACGGGCCTGCATATCTGTGAAAAATCCCAAATTGTTAGCCGTTGTGGTTTTTCTGAATCAAATGAGGAGTGCCTGTATTTCTACTCCCTGTGGACGAGGAGTGTGCGTCTTTCCCGACCACGAGCCTGAAATTGTGCCAGCCACCGGGGCGTCCACCACGGTTCCTCTAAAACTTGGCAACGTGGTTTCCTTCAAAGATGCCCATCGGTTTTACCTTTGAAGACTGGTATCAAACACAGACTTCAGAGGCCAACATTTTCTAAGTCGTATATTTCTTGGAAATCAAAGAAATAAATACTTAAGAGTTGGGACAGGGACGTTGTGTTATGAAAAATTAATGAGGATGACAATCAATGCAGCTTTGAATATATCCTTCCCCCATGGCTTGCAAGCACTCCTACTCTACGTGTGCATTTCCTAGGCTGGAACTTCCTAAAGGTGGCTTGACTGCTGTGTAATCTGCACCCCCTCTCCCCAGCCCCGCACAGGGTGCCACACTCAGGCTCCACAAGTCACTGTGGAGTGGGCCAAGGTATGCTTGACCACTATTCCTTAAAACTTCAAAGGAAAAAGAAGTGGATGGTCTTGAAAAACATGTATGTTTTTATTCTGCATTCTATTCATTAACGAGCTTAACTCCCTGCTATCTGCAATCTTTATAGGCTAGACCCCACTCCCACGCAGCTGGATGCCCACTCTCCATCAAGCCCTCTCATTTCCATTTGTTAATCAAGGCAAGTTCCCTATAGCTCCTTGCATCTCATTTAAATATGTCATCTTTGCACGATCTACTGGACTCCTGGACCCAGACCTGGTCCAGTACCTCTCCCTCCCAGCCCATCCCTCCTACTGGTCTGCTCACTGTCCCCTCCACTTAACATGCCTTTGCTCTTCCTACGGATGGAAGTCAAAAGAACTTTGGTTTTAAACAAACATTGTATTACTTTCATTTATAACATTCTAACTTTAAAAAGAAGAAGGCATTCATGCATTTCTTGGGCGAGTAAACATTTTTTTAACAATATGTGAAATGCCTTGGTCCTTTCAATGATTTTAGATTTCAGAGGGTAACAGCTTCCCTTAATATTAGTTATGTATCAAGTTACCCTACCCCCTAAGATTAAACAACACTATTTTTAAAAATAGAAAACAAAGATTTAGACATCTAAGGGTGGGAAGAGGAAAACAACTAAAAAGAAAAGGGCAGTAAATTTACCATGTGTTTTTAAACTTTCCTAAATAAAGGGGAGGTCCAGCCATTCCTCACCGGGGAGTTGAAGAGGATAAAAGTCTCACTCTTTTCTAAAACATCTGTTTCCAGTATTGGGGCTAAAGCCTAAAGCAAATTAATGTCACTGTAGTCAAAGTTAGGCTTACTGAAAATTAAACAGCACATCTGGAAGTTTGAAATACCTTTTTCTCTTTCTTTGAGCTTTTATGGTTTGTTTACATGGAACTGTAAATACCGTGCCACAAGGCTGTGTTGGATGCTAGCACCCCCTCTTTTGTGGGTGGTGGTGGTGGTTACAACAGAAAAGTGATGTTCTTGAGTCTCAGTTTCCTTTTCTGTATAATGAGCCCAACAGAACTCCTCACATGAGTTTGCAAATTACCTGGCAGGTAGCAGGCACCTGGCGCATTTTTTGGTTTGTTTCTGTCTTATTTTTAATCAAGGAAATGAGACAATGTAGGACAGGAGGAGTGGCATTGTGCCATTATGTGTGAGTTCAGGGCAATTTTAGAAGGATTAAAGTAAAATGTATTCCCAGTCATCAAAAATATTTTACAAAGATGCCACGTTTAGAATTCGCATGAGTTTACATTTACTGTTCAAAGATGTGTGATTTCAGAACTTTCTCTGAGACTTGAAAAAGCCTGGATTATAATGAATAATTTCCTATATCACATCTTCTCTTCACCAGAGAGGGGAATGAAAAGTACCAGTCAGTGGTATTTCAGGAACTAAACGAAGAGAAACCTGATGTACTGATGCATCAAAGGTCACTAATGGTGATGTTTGGGCAAGTTTGGGGGTAAGGAAGTTGTGAAGACTATTAATACCCATCTCTTGCATGTTAAAAGGTCTATGCGGTAAGGATAAAACTCGTGACCTGAAAATTCCTTTGGAATTCCCTTGTAGTTCAGAGAAAGAAATCAAAACTAAAGGACCATATGCCATTATGACAGAAAGGTGTCTACTTTCTCCATTCGAAAGATGGTAGAAAACAAAGGTTTGAGTTTGTGATTGCAAAATGGAAGAAGGAAATAGTAAAATTCTTCACAATGATTCAGGAAGAGACAGAGGATACATTCAGCCCTAATTTTCTGTAAGCTGCACTAGGTAAAAAATGTCCAATGGTTAACTTTTAATTTGTTCCCTCCTCTTGAATACTTACACATCTATTAGTAGAGGATATTTCTTGGATGTATCAAAATGAGGAGGCAAGATCATCTGATACCAGAATTCTAAACAAACAGAAAGACTGATCAGTAAATTAAGAGTAATTATTAGCACACGATCTAGGTTTCGTTGCAGTGATAAATCATAGTTAGCATTCAACAATTTGTTAAATTATAATAGAAAAAGAAAATGAACTGCTTGGATTCAGTATGCTTTTAAGATAAAAAAACATTCTCTTTCAGGTTAGAATACTAGTTAAGATTAAAGCAATAAAGTTGTTTTTAATATATCTATTAAATATATTGGTGCCTTGTAAAATAAAAGTGCATCTTAGAATTGCTAATGTTTTGTTTTTATGATTCTGTTCTTTGGCATCTGATCTACTTATCTAGTTTGTTTATGGCTTATGTTCTAAGTTTTCCTCCAAAATGTTTTCCTCTTCTTGAATTTCCTTGAAGATGTTTAGGATTTTTAGTTGGCCCTAACTCTATTTTAAAATTCTGATTTAATAACATTTTTGTAATTCTTATTGCCATCCCAGACCGCGAAGCTGAGTTCCCATTTTCAGCTCTGTGATTCACAGATTGAAATCAGGTTTACATGCAGCAGACTGTTGTGTATGTTCTATATGATCCGCAGATCTGTTTAATTCTCTGTGCTTGACTTAGCATCAGTTTAATAAAATTTGTCCCTAAATAATGAATTGGTTTCCTTTGCTCCCAAAATCAAGAAGATGAGTTAGATTAATAAATCTTAAAGAGAGAGAGAGATTGAAAGATTTTCTATATTTTAATCAGATTATTTCCAGCTTCAGTAGATTTAACCTATAGGGAAAAAAATCCATATCTCTAGAGCTGCTGTTTCTTTATGTTTATCTTTCTTTTCTTCCTTTTTTTTTTGGTTGTTAAAATTATTTTAGTTGAGGAAAAAAGAAAGGTCTAAGAGTAAGTCTCTAGATAGATAGATTTCCCTTCAATTTGTGTTTGTATTTTAAATACATGCCTTCTGACTAAATGTGCTTATAAGAATAAAAATTTGTCTTTATTATTTTTCAATAGAATGTCAAACTATGTGTTGATCATGATGTTTTTAATAAATATGCCAAACCCACCATTTGATCTCTCCTTTGTTTGAATTTGTACTAGTGGATTAGAAGTGTTTTAGTTCCATCTTTCTGAAGATGCCATTTTTTCTTTGGGTGGGGGGGGTGCTTTGTAATCCTCAGTCCCACCTCCTACTGACCCTCCTCCTCGACGCCCCCACTACCCCACTTCCCTGGAGTTTGAATGTACAGCCACCTCCCAGCTGGACTCTCCAGCTCTGGCAGATCTAGGCTCAGTCTCCTCCCTACCAGGTTGCCCATCCAGTCCTGTGGTTTCCCTGAGCCAAAAACTTTCGGGGTCCCCCACTGTTTGTCAAATCTCAGGATGTAGTGCCTTCCGCACCAGCAGCCCAGGTAGCTCTCCGGAACTCTAAGTCCTTGCCCATTATGCCAGCAGCACCAGCAGCACCTAAGAACCAAGTACAAACTCTGAACCCTGGGCTCACCCTGCCTTGCTGGATCACAAAACTACCGTTAACAAGGTGCCAGGTGATTCATACGCACATTCAGTTTCAGTAGCCCTGCTCTAAGCTCTTCTTCACAAGCACCCTCTACTCCCCAGCGCTTCTCCTGCCATTTAAAATTGGATGGATCTTTTCTACTGGATCTTACTGAATCTTTTCTATTATTATCCTATATTTAAAAAAACTTAAATCAGTCCTGATGGATTTCCCCCATCCTCCATGAGTAATTAGCTCTTAATGGGAAAAACAGCAAACAAATACAAATGAACAAACTACAAAATTTCCTACTCAAAGAACACTCTCTCCACCCCAGTTCTCAGTGGTTCCTGCACATCATCCCTGCTCAGGCTCCCAGCCCAGGGACCAGGCTAACTATGGCAAGGAGAAGGTTAGGAAAAATTCAAGATTTCTCTCCCGAGATTGAAGTTTTAACATTTTACAGCCAACCCTAATTTTTTTATACAATCACCTCAGATATTTTTTATCTCTTTGGGTTAAAGGTAGAATATATCAGGATATCATTAAGTTAAACACTCAAATAATACTTTATAGTAGAACAGAGTTACTAACAGAACGAAACAGAAGCAGCAAACGTGTGTTTTTTTCCAAATGCCTTCATTTTAACAGAATAACTTTTACATAGAGTGGTATTGTATTTTAAAACAAAAAAAATTGTAAAACTAGCAGTTCTCATGACAGAATATTTCATAGAAAAAATAACCTCAAATTAGATTACATATAATAAAATGTGTATTTTCAGATCAAGTTACCATGTTTAGTTATATTTTTTATTGGTGTTTCCAGGAGCAGTTGTTTCTAAGGAGATTTAACTTACTTGTTTCATTCAAAATAATGAAATCCAGTTTTTTTGAGGGCATCTGGACATCCTGCAGCATTTTATCCAAAGCTGAATTGTCTTCCAGGACTCTCAGTTCTAAGCAAATAAGTGCAGACGGCAGCGATTCGTTACAATGTGAAGAATTCGGATTGTGCAAAGTGCTAACAAACAAGTAGCAATTCACTGATGGGACTATACATACTTTGGATTATAAACCTTGAGTTCAAATCATTTTTTTAAACACTCTAAAGCCAAAAAAAAAAAAAAAAAATCCCAATATGCTAAGTACATGTTGATTCTATTCACACACTTTTCTAAAAAGCAAAGGAAAGGTGAAATGCTAGAAAATACCTTTATCGTCGCTGCTACTATGCAGAGTATAGAGGGGTAGACCAGGGCCTGTTAACAGGAAAAATGTTTTAGGTGAGGCTTTTTAAGAAAAGAAGAGAGCATATTTTTCAAAAATGGCCATTTGATACCATTTAACTTTGATACGATTTTAATACCATTTAGCTCTGATAGAATAAAAATCATGGTAGATAAGGTGCTTACTAAGTGTTAGCTGTTTTTCCTTTTCCTTGAAATAGGTGCAATTTGAGATTAAGAAGTATTACCGGAAAGGCACAGGGCTCAGTACAACGAAGCAGAAAATGAACCTCTGGCCCCGTTGAGTGCCTTGGGCATGCTGCCTCCAATTTCCTCAACTGTGAACTAAACCCACGAACCACTGACACGGCTGTCTTTCCTTCCCAGCCCTAAATCCACAATCCAGCGATGACCACTCCGGCTCTCAGGCCCCGCCCCCTTAGGGCGGAGCTCTGGAGCCAGCCTGGGGGTGGGGGCGGACTTCCCTCCCGCTGCCCCCGCCCCACTGAGTCCTGAGCCAGGGGGCACATCTGCACAGTGCCTGACTTGGATAAGCGATTCCTTTCTGGCATGCAAAAGTGTTTTTCTCGCATGAACATATCTTCACTATTTATCCCAACTGGTAGTTGCAGACTAGAAGGTAATGTATAGAAAAGCTATTTGGTGAGCTATTTAATTTTGATGCATTTAGATAATATTAATGTTTTTCTCTCGATCAGAACCACAGTGAAGGCATTATAAAGACCTGGGTTTGAATTCTGGCTTCCCTGCTGTGTGACAACATATCTATGTTCCATCTCTTTACATATAAAAGGAGAACAGTATCACTTTATAGAGTTTTCTTAAGAATCAAATAAGACTACAAATATAAAACTTTTAGCACAGTTCCTAGTATGAAATGTGTGCCCAAGAAATGGTGACTAAAAACAGTCACAGAAAAAAAAAAAAAAAGAAAGAAAGAAAGAAAGAAAGAAAGAGAGAGAGAGAGAAAGATGTAATAATAAAGAAAATGTGCTAGTAAATAAAGATTCAGATAGCTGGTTTGGAGATCTCTTTCCCGCGAGGGACAGTTCTTTTTCAGAATATCCAGATTCTTTCATTTTGAGAAGTAATCTAGCATAGGGCTTATTGGAGGGCTCAGGAGATGGAGCCCTGTGCTTGAATCCTGTTGTGCCTCTTATTAGCTGTGTGACCTGTGCAAGTCACGTTGCCTGTCCTTTCCAAGTTTCTTCATTTATAATAAAGAAAACAATAATAAAATAGCAACAGAAGATGGAGCAGTGAGCAGGTTGGGTGACAGACACTACCCACATACATTTTCTCATCTAAAGGGGCAAATGCATAAAATAATAATTAAAAAATCTACAATAAAAAAACTACAATAAAAAATCTATATGTATTTATGCACATAGATATAATATATATATGTATAAAATCAAGTGCCTCTGCTATACGTAGTCTCCAGTGTATGTGTATATTTGTTGTGCGTTCAGTCAAAAGCAAGCCATGCAACTCTCTTGGTTAGAAGGGGAGGAAAGGTGGTTAACTTACCACTTAGATGTGCTTGAAGAGAAGGGGACTTGGTGATTTCAAGGGCTCCTCAGATTCAAGAGGAGAAAACTAAGCAGGGCAGAAAGAATGTTTCCCAGACTGGACACAGAAAGGGATAGATGGGCAGAATGAGCCAGGACGGGGACACCTGGGTGGCTCAGTCGGTTGAGCGTCTGCCTTTGGCTCAGGTCATGATCCCAGGGTCCTGGGATCCAGTCCCACAGCGGGATCCCTGCTCAACGGGGAGCCTGCTTCTCCCTCTCCTTTTGCTTCTCCCTCTCCCTCAGCTTCTCCCTCTGCCTGCAACTCCCCCTGCTTGTGTGCTCTCTCTCTCTCTGATAAATAAATAAATAAATAAATAAATAAATAAATAAATAAATAAATAAATAATCTTTAAAAAAAGAGAGAACGAGCCAGGAGGGTGGTAAGAATATTGTCTGAAGAGCAGAAGGAACAAAGTCAGCTGGTGAGTGGAAGGCAGGAATGGAAGGAACCACTTCAGATAGACAGACATGATGTTCTGCCTCCCCTTGGCAGTTCACACTTACCTGAACACCTCAGTTGATAGTACTTTGCCTCTTTACTAAATGATACAGAATAGTACTGACACCTTTCTGGATTCAACTCACAACTCAGGCATGTCACCTTTGTGTAGTTACTCAGTTGGATTCTGTAAACCAATGGTGGAAATTAAGTGCTTAATGAAAGAATAAATGAAAAAACAGAATTGAATAATGCCATATTCTAGTTTCAAAGGTATCAGAATGCCAAAACAATGCTCAAAAACCTTTTTTTATGTGCAACAAATACATGGATTAATTCACAGTAACCTCAAACCTCCCATTGTTTGGGAATAGCACAAAACATTTAATAAAGTCATTCTCTGCTGTTGACACCTGGGGTTTAATTTATAAGGGAATGAAAGTGCTCAGTTACAATTCCAGTTAGTTCAAACACGGAAAAACAAAACAAAACAAAACAAAACCCAGAAATTTTTCTTCAGCTAAAAAGACTCAAGTCAATAATTTGATTTAGCTCTTACTTATAAAGATTTCTTCCTCCTGGCATTCCTTTATATTCATTACTAATGTAGTATCTGGGAAGAAAACAAATTAAATATATGTTGATTATGTTTTTAAAGAAAGTCAAGTACACTCTATTTAACTCAACACCAAACATTCATGCTGGCCCTTCTCGTATCATTTTTCCCTGCCCCCTCTCCCCCCAGAAGCCTATTTCCTGTCATCTCTAAATAGGAGATTAGGAGATCCTATTTTTTAAAGTAGACTAAAATATCTGAATGCAGGAATTGTTCCCTTCACTAAAGTGACAAGTGAAAACTCAAAAAAAAAGTCTTTTGTGAGAAAAGTACCACCGGACAACCAGCCTGAAGTTGAGAGCCCACGTACCTATATTGTTTTCCATATTTTCTATTTTATAGCGCAAACTACTAGATGGCAGGAGCCCCATCCTTCTGAGAGCAGCTGAGCCACTTCTAAAGAGGCCCTTCAAAAACTGCTTTGGGCAGTGGCAAAAATCCTCCGTGGTGAGACCCAATAATGAATTATAGAAGTGCCTCAGATTCTAATGAAAAATAACACTCCTTTTCCACCAACTCGTGCATGCATGGTAGTTGACAGCCTCTGCTAAAGCTTTCCATTTTCCAGAGTAAGGCCGAGATACGGACAGATAAAATAGCCTCTCCGAGCCTTCCAAAAATGTGGTGCCAGTTAAAATTTAACAAAATGCCCCTGATTGTAGTTCCGTGTTCCAAGACGTTTTAAGAAAAAATGGCTACAGCTCTTCTAATGTAAAGCAGGTAAGAGCAAGAGGTAGAGCTGCTTGGTGGCATGGTATCAAATCTGCTAAGCATATGTGAAAATCATTAAGGCTTCCGTATGCTAAAAAGAAAAAAGTACTGAACACATTCCAAATAGACTATTCTTTATTTGTAGGAGATTTTCCCCTACTTCTGGGCAAAGAGGGTGTGATTACAACGAGTATGTTTACATCCTATCAGTTATTAGAATACTCACAGGTAATCACTGGTAAGAGCTTCTATCCCGATGACTTCCCAAGCTCCTTTTGTAATAAATGTGCAACCCTAATGGGATTTTATTAAAAAGACGTTTATTAAACTCTCTAATCGAAGTGGAGGGTTGAATCTTTTATAGCAGCAATTTAGATAATCTTAGGTCTTCTTGGGTTTCCCCTCCCTATCCCATCATCCTCCAGATACCACTTTGGAATTTGAATTAGCCGGATTATTAGTACATACTGATTGACTTTACCAAATGTTTCTTCTTCAAGTCAGTCTCATTAAAAAAGAGATCAACCTGAAATAAATTATGTAAGAATACTTACTTGCTTATCTATTTGGAATAGGCAAATGTGTTTGTAGCCATCTTGGTTGCTGATGATCTTATAGAAGCTCTTCCCGTCGGAGGTAAAATGAGGTTCTGAAGGCCTAAACTACAGAATAATAGAAAACAAAAAAACAGATTAGAGCACATCAGTCTCATCTCAGTACCAACTTTAATTTTTCCAAGTCCTCTCAACACCTCTGCCCAAAACCCATGCTTCATTTACTTGCCAAGTGAAACCAGAGTGTCTCAAAAGAAAATTCTCCTTCTAGAAAATGCAGACAAAAAGATCTTTCTCAGGGAATTTTTTGTGCAGAGTAAATGAGAGAAAGCACATAAAAAGGCTTACGCAGGACTCTCAACACGTATCAGTGATATTGTTATCTCTGGACATTTCTCTGTGGAGGATAACTCTATGACTTCTGGCTATAAATGTGCAAAAATTAACATTCATCTTCCAGTTTTAAGAAGTAAATTTCCTCAGTGTCACAGATGTGCTTTCTTGAAACAGACTATTATTATTGTTATTATAACCGGGAGTTTGTACATCTTAATCCCCTTCACCTATTTTGCCCATCCCCCACACGGCCTCCCCCCCTGGCATCCGTGAGTGATTGCTTTCTGTTTGGTTGGTTGGTTTGTTTGAAACAGACTATTATTTTTACTGTTTCAGATAAGAAGTGGTTTTCAATTTGAGGGCTTTGTTCCCTCCTTTTTAAATACTCACTTCTTTTTGAAAGCCAGAAAGTGTTTAACCATTTCTGGACTGGATACTATAAGGAATGTCTGTCGTACATTTCACATGGAAACATTCTTATAGTTACCATTTTTATTGTAAGTCTTTTCATTTTGCTAAATAGGATCAACAATTTACCAAAAAAGTAGTTGTATGGAAATATAGTATAAAATTTCCATTTTTCACAGTTCAATAAAAGATAGTTCTCAGAACATAATGTAGTTTAAGCAGAAGAATATCTATCCCAGCCTGAAGGGAATATGTCGCTTTACGACTTCGATTTCCTTCCTACATTTGAGAGCAGGTAGGAGATGGTCTTTTAAAAATTGTTGGTTCACTTTACCCTCGATGTTTCCTCTCTTATCAGCTCCCATTTTGGGAAGGAAGAAAAACGCTTCCCTCTTCTCTTTAGTGATTCAAAGTGGATTCATTTATGGAGCAAGCTGAGGCGTGCCGTACACTTGGTGTTCTCATTACAGCTCTCTGAAACACATTCCCCTCTCTAGACCTGTGTTCACAGCCTTATCTTTTTAATACATTTCCCTGTTTCCCCTGGATGGAGTTGTGCCTAGTAGAAATGTGTGAAAAGTGGCATCTGTCTGGTTAAATACAGAGAGGAAAAAACATATTTTTTTCAAAGAGTCGTGAGGAAGTGTAGCGTGTCTCTTGCCATGGAGGAAACCACTTTTCATGTTGGCAAACCTCTCCCCTCTGCCCAATCAATGCCTGAAGAAAAGGGGACGTGTGAATGCTATCGGAGCTCTGAGCCCAGCTGGATGGGGTCCTGTTTCTGGACCAGGGGCCTCCCCTCTATGCCCCAAGAGATGTGAATGAAATCTTTACTTTTTTTTTTTTTTTTGGTCCCTTTGTTTCTCTCTTAAAGGAGGCTTAACAGAAGTGATCATAAAAATTAGGTGAGATTTGTTCATCGTCTTTCTTTGGGATGCCACAATGGCTGGAGACCCTCCGCTAACTTGCTTCAGCCCATGGTCCGGTAGCCACACGGTTGGTGATTCTGCCCAAGGCATCGTGCAGCGGGAGAGAGAAGCGTGACTAGTCTCTGCGGGTCACCGTGCTTTCTTGGATAAAACTGCGTCTGGGGCCTAGTAAAGCGTGAAGCCACACGAGTATGATTTCCTCCAAAGGGAGGTGCACAGCAGTGTTGCTGGATGGCTACAGCCGCTGCCGAGTTGCTGCTGGATACAACCGCACCTCCTTGCCCATTTGTGTAGGCGGTGGTTGGAAGCCATGTTTTCTGCCTCCAAAGCACAGGACTTCAAAGATGAGGTCAACGAGCATATTCTGCATCTTAGCTGCTTTTCAGCAGCAGTCGCTTTTTAACTTTTCAGGAGCTACGGTTTGCCTAGAGTATGTCTTTTGTTTTGTCTGCTCTCAAGTTTTCACTTGTCCTGTTCCTTTTTCCAACTGAGCATGTTCTATATTCCCCATGAAAAGCTATCTCTGCAGGGAGCATTGAAATATTTTGAGAAATAGGTCAAGTAATCTCTCTATTAATAGCAAATAACATAGGGCCCCCCTTTGGTATATCTGCCAAATATCAAATAGCTCTGAGTATCTGATCCATACCACAAAAACCCTGTAACTCTTCAGCACTTACTCTTCCAACCCAGCCAGTGGTGCTCGTTTCAGTGTGTTCTTGTGCCTAGGGAGGGAAAAATACAAGGCAGTGTTTCAGAGAGACGTAAGATATTAATTCTATTCTTTATCTGCAACTCGTGGTAATAGAAGCAAAACTGTAAAATAATTGAAAACTATCGCCATTTATACAGTTGTATTTATGCTCAGATTGTTTATATGACTGCATTAGAACAGTTACCTCTCTTGCCTAGAGCTCTGTCTTCCATATGTGGCCCTGGAAGCTCCCCCAGCATTTTCAACTCAACACGTACGGAACAGAAGATGATGTCGTTTATCTTGCTTCCATCCCTACTGGCTTGTTCTGACGCCTTCATTCTTCTGCTTCGTGCCACCACTCACCCAAGCCAGAGACTTGGGAGTCACTGTGGATGCCTCCTCTCCTCCCAGCCGCCTCCTCGGCCCTTGCCTCCTGGTTCTCTGATTCCTCTCGTCCTTCTCCACCTTTACTGACTTAGCTTCTGTTCTCGTCAGGTTTCGCTCGGCCCATTGCCCTGACTTCCCGGTTGGAGACCCTCTTGCTCTTCTCCTCTTCCACCCTGCTCAACCCCCACTGACCTCATTTGGCAACAGACAGTTCTATCCCATTACGATCCTCTCTTATTTAATACCTAGAAATAGCTCCCCGTGTCTTACAAGTAAGTCCAAACTCCTCAGAACGGCACCTGAGCCTCAGCCTACCTCCACCCTCGGTTCTCACCATGGTGCCTCTCCCCAGCCCCTCGTCCTCTGGAACCCCAGACCCTGGCGCTCCCAGCCATTCACTGGATGCCTTTGCACAGCCTCTGCTCCCAGAGTCTTTGTGCCCTTCTCTGCCCCGGGTGCTCTAGGCCTCCCTTGTCATCTCCCGTTGCCTGTCCTCAGTTGAGTGGATCGTCGTCTTTGGTCCTACATTCCCTCTGTACTTTGCTTATACCCTTTTAGGGCACAATATCCTGATAGTAGGATGATGGAATTGGCAGGAAGCAAAGAGCTTAGGTTTTCTAGTTTGGATTCTGACTGTCATGTGATCTAAGCAAGCTCCTTAACCTCACAGAACCTCTGTCTCCACAGTGTCTGGCTACTGTGAGTGTTCAAGAAACCGTAACTGTTATTATTGATTATCTTAATGGTATTCCCTACTAAAACATACACATTTTGGGGACCGACATGTTGTCTAATTTGTTTGTTTTTGTTTGTTTTAAATCCAGAGCTATGCACAGCATAACATAGTAGGTAGTAGGTAGGGACATAGTAGGTAGTCAGTGTTTGCTGTATAAATAAACGAATGGGCAAATCAAGATATGGTGTGCCCAAGCTTTCGGAGGCAAGAATCGGCACTGTGCCCACCCAGGCTGGGAAGTGTGTGTGTGTGTGTGTGTGTGTGGAGGGGGGGCAGGTAGTATGTAGGCACAGAGCCTATTACCAGAAAAGGGCTCGGAGTGGTGTCCTTCACATATGCGGGTAAACCTTCCCTGGACGTCGCCCCTCCTGAGGTTGCTGGTTCCCACAGGGGCTCTAATTCTGATTCACCAGCTTGGCTGAACCTTGTGGTTTCTTCTGGGGAATGCCCTGCCCCGCAGCACCTCGAGGGTGAATTAACACTTGCCTTTGTCTTAATGTTGCCACCCCCACCGCCTGGTAGTTATCTGTTGATGTTCTAAAGCTCTTGACTGCTGAAAGATAGTCACAGGGTGGTAAGAGATTTGTGGCCTTTTGATACGTGTTTTGTTTCACATATTCTCAGCCAGTCACTCTCCGCTCCCCATATTTTGTCTATTGAAACATACTCTGTTGACCTTGCAGCTGCTGGCCTTCTTGGGCTTTCTGAATTTTGACATCAAATTCTATCTTCTGGGTTTCCAGTCACCACCCCCTCCCCAAGTGATACTATCCATAACTAAAACAGTATGACTGATGAGGAGAGATGAAATGGAAGTACCACCAGATACCAGATTCTCTAAAAGTTAGTCAAAACTTACCCACTGCTTCAGGATCTGGCATAGAGTCAGAAAGAAAAGAAACTCAAACTTTATTTCCTGATTCCTAACCATTCACTCTCCCTGGGTTTATATAGTCCTTGGATCACATGTAGCTTTAGACGCAGAACATCCACATTAAACCTTACCACTGGACTTGTCCAACTGTTGGTGGAATTATCATAGTCACAAATACCCATGAGTGAATAGTTCTGAATCCTTCGGAGCCACTGCAAGGAAATCCTTTCTTCATTTACCCATGTCACATCACACAAGTAGTAATCCCTGGAAGGAAGGAAGAAAGGAAGGAAGGAAGGAAGGGGAGAGAGAGAGAGAAAGAAAAAGAGAGAGAGAATAACTATTTCCAGACCTTGGTACAGATAGACATTTTACTCAATGAAATCAATCTTAAGAGGCATATAATTTTAAATGGTTGTCAAAACAACTTAATACCACAATATTTTACCTTTTCTGAAAACCTAAAGTGTAATTTAGTTTTGAATGGAAATTAAAATATATCTGACAGGAAAAACAGCAGCTGACATCATAACAGTGGCTTAGCAAACGTGACTCACACCACAGCTCAGGATTTTTCAAGTCCTCAACTTGGCCTTTAGTAGTGCCAGGAAGTCAAGGGTGATATTTTCCCATCTCTTCTCTGCTGTCTTGAGAGAACATTACAGTGAGGCCAGAGACACTGGCTGAGATTCGAATATTTTCTGGTAATCTGACGCATGCTTCTCCAGAAAATTCTTACTTTTAGGGTGAAATTATAACTGACCCTTTTCTCAAGTTCGTTTTCAAAGGGGAAAAAAAAATTGACTCACATCTCTACAAACGTTGAAAATCAAATAATTATATTGTAAAAATCTTTTCTCAAAAGTCAAAGCATGAACCATGTGAAAAAATCAAGGAACCGTAACTTAAAATTTATATGAACGGAGATGTCGCTAGCAATGCATCCTCCTCCAACATATACCTCAAACGTTTTTGGAACTACCTTTTGATTTATAGTGAGATGCGTGGAATTCTCAATTTACTTTTCTGTTAGCTTACTTAAATATTTGTTCTGGATTGTTCATTTTATTTGCTCCTCCTAGCACCCAGTGTGATTCTGAACGACCATTCTTAAATCATTGGTTTCCACTGTCTGATCAAAGCCTTGTTCCCTTTTGTCAGAAAAATTCCAAGAGAATCTTTTCTTCTCCCTTCTTCCTGACTGGCCCTGGCCCCATAGCCATATCCTCCTCATCACCCCGAATGCTCTAAAATGCTCTTTGCTCTTCCCTTCACAGGCTGTGGCCACCCCCTCCTTCTGTCTCTTTGCTCTCTTTGCCTGACCACAAGCTCTTGGAGGCACGGCTGCAGCTTTCTTGTTCGCAGGGTGTCCCGAGGCCCCAGTGGAATGAATACCTGGCACAAAACAGACACTCGCTGAAGTTCTGCGGAATGCAGCACTGACGAAGGGGAAGGTCCTTTCGTGTTCTTTGTGGCCTCAATATCTCTGTCCTTCCTCAGAATTCACAGGTCATGTCCTGTCTCCACTCCCTTCACAGACACGAAAGCGAACAGCCAATACCTACGAGCACTTAGGATGGATCACCACTTCACTATCCCCCCTCTATAGCTGGGGACACTTCCTGTGTTAATGTCCCCAGGGGCACCTCTCGGCTGTCCCCGCTGCAAGCGGCAAGTACTGAAAGAAGATCAAACCCCTTCACCCAGGGATGCCTGGGTGGCTCAGTTGGTTAAGCGACTGCCTTCGGCTCAGGTCATGATCCTGGAGTCCCGGGATCGAGTCCCGCATCGGGCTCCCTGCTCGGCAGGGAGTCTGCTTCTCCCTCTGACCCTCCCCCCTCTCATGTGCTCTCTCTCTCATTCTCTCTGTCAAATAAATAAATAAAATCTTTAAAAAAACAAAACAAAACAAAACAAAAAACCCCTTCACCCAGCAGCAAAGCACCACCTTCCCACCAACAGGGACTCTTCTCCGCTTCAGCCCTTTCTCTTGCTTATTAAGAACCTATGCACCATCCAGTCTGCATGGCTGGTATTCCATGGACACCTTCTGAGATTTCCCAGCTGCCCCCCGCCTTTGTTCAACCTGCCCTCAGTCTGAAACCTCTGCCATGCTCTGACTTCTTTAGGTCTTCCTCAAATATCCACTGTGCCTTCTTGGAAAGCCCCTCAGGCCGCACAGGTATCAGCAGTCTTAAGGGGCTCATCACTAATGACCGCCAGACTGCAGGGTCTGAGAGTGTGCACCCCTCCTTGCACGCACGGGACCAAGGGCACCTCATGGAGTCCAACTCTTCTGCCCTGTGCCCAGCCCATAGGCATTAAATGAGGAAATTGGAAAGGCAAATAAATCCTGCTGGGGATAGGGACTAAATCATTGCAAAGGGGATGGAACAATGACATGCAAGGGAGAAAGTAAAACTTTCTCAGATTAACTTTCTAGACTAGGGGTCTGAAGACTTTTTCAGTAAAGAGTCAGACAGTAAATATTTTAAGTTTTGCAGGTCACGTGAGCTCTGTCACACTGACTTATTTCTGCCTTTGCAGGACAAAAGCAGGCACAGACGAACACATGTAGAGGAGTTGCAGTGAAACCCTGAGATCTGAAGGTCATATAATTTTCACATGTCATGAAATATTATTCTTCTTGTGATTTTCCTTCCCAACCATTCAAAATTGTAAAACCCTTTCTTACTTGCAGATCATGCAAGAACAGGCATGGGGCTGGTTTTGCCAGTGGGCCCTAATAATCCCTCCTCTATGCCCGTGGTTCTCAATCACAGATCAAATCCCTTTGTAAATCAGATGAAAATCATGTGCCTCTCTCTAGGGGCAGTGGTGGTGGGGGGCGGAAATCTCTTCACATACATGCACATATTGCCCAGGGCTCCATGGGCGTCGATTAGGATCATAGGCTCCAGAAACAGGCTTCCGTTTTCTAAAGTGTGCCAGTTGGGGGAAAGGGCAGGCGAGGGCGGAAGAAAACTCTTTAACATGATTAGCGGGTCACCTTTACTAAGTGCTTTATCTACTAAAAACCATAGATCGTACTCCAGGTTCAGAAATCAGCAGTAGAAAAGTAACTTCTCCCCATTCGAAATCGGAGTAATGGAATTTGGGAAGGAAGTCTGCCAGGAAACTCATATGCATCTGGCACCTTCCTTGCCCATTTCCAGATCAAAGGTTCATGACCCTCTATCTTCCACTCTCTCTGTCACTCTTGGGTAGCCCAAGGTGTACTCTGCACCTTCTGATGCTTCCAGAAGGGCCGTTGGCCAGCCAGCAGGTGGGACATTTTGAATCCTCATGGAAATATACTTCTGTTTAATCACAGCTTCTCTTTAGGATTTGGAATTAAGGGGAGACAGAACGACGCTGCATACCCTGCCCTGAGCCAAGATCGTGCCAAGATCAAGTCTGAGATGTCAGTGAGTCATTAAAAATGTATAAGGGAACCAATGGCCCAACTGTACTTTTTATTGAAAGGTTTAAGTCCCACTTAGGACCAGAAAAATCCAAAGAGCAGGAATATCAACTATAAATTACATTACATGATGATTTTTCTTAAAGATTTATTTATTTATTTTGAGAACATGCACATGCATGTGCAAGTGGGGGAGGGGCAGAAGGCGAGGAAGAGAGAAGCTCAAGCAGGCAAACTCCCTGCCCAGCCTGGAGCCCCAGCTGGGGCTGGATCTCATGACCCTGAGATCACGACCTGAGCTACCCAGGTGCCCCTCGATGCTGATTTTATTCTGTAAAAGCAGAGAGGCGCCTACTGAATAGATTGCTTATGTAATGGTGGGAAGGGACAGAAGAGGGACCGTCAGGCAACCTGGACTTCCCTTGAGCCAGAGACCGCCTATCCTGTGAGACATAGTGATTCAGTTTCAAAGCTCTTCTAACTTCTGGGACAATGTTATTCTAAGGAGAGTATGGTTGACTTTAATACTAAAGCAATGGAGTAATTTCTGGATATAATAATAGGAGTTCACACCCATGAGCAGTTTACTCTGTGCTAGGAACCATTCCAAGTGCTCCCAGTTTATGGCACCCTATGCGCTAGGAAGGCTAAGGTTCATGTTTTGCAGACAAGGAAAAGGAGGTGGAGAAAGGTTGAGTAACTCGCCCAAGGTCACACACTGGGGAGTGTTGGAACCACGATTCAGATTTTCTGTTCCCAGGAGCTCCCTCTATAGAACCTCCACCCATCCCTCTGGTAAATACTGTTGGCTAGCTTCACCCTCTTGCTTTTTTTCAGGATAAAATTCCCCACTCTACGAGTGAGGTCTCTACAGAGTGTGTGTAAACTAAATAGCTGAATTTTATAAAGCAAATTATATTTGAATGTACTGGGACAGACCTGCTTTTGAAGGTCATACTACAGAGAATCCCTTTGTAAAGTGACCATAGAGTAGGAGTTTAATAAATGTCTGTTGAGTTGCATTAATTCCCCTAATATGTGTACGTGGTTTTCTTGGTATGCTAAGGATACTTAACATCAGGTAGGCATTACTAACCAGAAAGAATGTTGGAGATAAATTGCTCCTAAGTGCAACTGCAGACGGTGGAGTGATTAACTCGGTGAATCACCCAAGGAAGCGGGCGTTCTGTCAGTGCTGGCCCCGGGCTCCATGCCACCCTCTGTTCTGAGGGGGATACCAGCCGTCCTGGGGCTGCTGACAGATCGCTAAGAGAAGGACAGGTGGGGTGAGGGGGAGCCCATCACAGAGGGCAGCACCCACAGCAGGCAAGCTCCTGATCCACCTCCTGTCTCAAGGTGTTGCTAGCTTCCAGCCATCTCTGTCCAGTTCGCTTATCTCCTGTATGACAACCCCAGACCCTGATATTGCTACTTTATAGATCAAGGATTCTCAACTGTTCAGAGGAGGCATTTATCTATTACATCACTCAGGAGCAGAAAAAACAGGGTGGGGCAGGTCAGGACTGGGTGTGATGGGTCCCCGGAGCCATTCAGCAGATGTCGGGTGGGGTCACCTCAGTGGAACATGCCCTTCCCAATCCTCTAGCTCAGGCCACACGATTTGCAGATGGCTGGGAGGAGGCAGAAAGGAGGGACTGCTAGGCAGGGTCACTTGGAGGGTCATCTTTGGTGCTGGTTGTGTAAAGCATTCCACACACATGAAGTCACACATATAACATAACTCATTCATCCACGCAGAAGCTTATTCATTTATTCTACAAATGTTCGTTGGGCACTTGCTGGGTCTCAGACCCCCACCCTCCACCCCCGAGAGGCACTGGAGATACTACTGTAAGAGGGGCCTCTACCTATAGAACTTTCTTATTTCAGTCCAGCAACATGAAGCCAGGCTCTAAATAAAGCAGGTGCGGGGGGTGGGTGGCGGTTATGATTTTACAGTATATGTTGTTTTCTTTCAAAGATTTTGAGCTTGCAAATTCCCATTATGAGTCATCAATACAAATGAGCAGCCTAATGAATCTAATCCACTTGACCTCTAACTCAATGAGGGCAACTGGGAGGCTCCCTGCCTCTGGTAGGATTTCACCTGCGGGAAGATCTGTGGTGCAAGGACATGGCCTCAGGGGAAAGCGAGTGATGGGTGCCTGGACAGAGGACGGAAGAAACACGCCCACCCTCACAGGGCTCCAGGCGATCTACACTCCGGGAGCTAGCGGATGTCTAGGAAACACAGCTGAGGGTGCTGGGCAGTTTCCGAAGAGGCACAACTTGCCGGGATTCACCCGGCCCTGTTGGATGTTTGCATGAGGCCAGAAAGTGGGGTATCACCGCCTGCTAGAACATTTTCTGCAGAGAGGACCTCGCGCCTGGTTTTACATAAACTGCAGCATCACTGGTGTTAATAGAGACCAGAGCTGGATTTATAATTCCCTATATAACACATTCCTGAGGCATTTCCAGAAATGATTCCTCAGTAAAATACATCTCACACATAATATCCCCAGTGAGTGAGGCAGTCCTCACCAGGAATGCAGCATAAAGCACCGCAAACAATTACTTAAAGGTTCATTCGTACGGGGCAAAAACTAAGTCCTTGGACTTGTGCACGTTTCCTGAGCTCAGCTTATGGAATGAGTTTCTAAGGGGGCAGGGGAGACCCCACAGAGGAGGACCTATGAAATGGCCATGACAAAGACACGGTAGGCAGTGTGTCAAGTGAGATGTGAGCCGGGCATCAAGCATAGTCCTCACCCACAGGAAACACTCTATGCATTGAAACTCCATTATTCAGTGAGCCTATTAACCAGCAGGTGCAGGCCTGTGTCCTCTTCCCAGCTCCCATGCTAACTTGCTGTGTGACCTTGAGCAAAAGAGTTTCCCTCTGTAAGCCTCAGTTAGCTCATCTGTGTCCCACAGCATTGTTCTCAGTGTGTTCTGGAAGCCCGCAGGTTCGAATATCCCGACTCCTGGCGGAAGCAGAAGGAACAAGGCCTGTGCCTGCAACCTGAGCAATAATCGTCTGGTTGGTTTCTGGACCTGCACTCCTGTGTTCTATCTCACCTGAAAAAAAGGCTTCATTCAGGTCCTTAAAACAGTTTGTAAACCATGAGTGAGGTCTAAAGCCCCTCCCAGATCTAAGATTCTTCAGAGCAGGGGCTTGTGGCTCATCCTCAGCAGACAGATGTTGGTCGTAGGCCAAGAGGTCACACCAGGCCCTGCCCTTTCCATGGACATCCCTGCACTTCCCCACGCATGGGTTACCTTCCCCTTGAGTGCCATCCCCCGAGCTGTGCCCTGTGGAATCCTTCCTGCTCAATCCACACATTGCCCAGGATGCTTTCTTTGATCCCTGGGGTCCTGGAAACCCATTTTCTTAGCTTCTAGGCCTCATTCCCTTATATGTAAAAGAGGCATATAATTATAGTTGTTGGAAAGAGTTACTTTAAAGATTAATACAAGCAAGCCTGTGATCATGCCCTGTGTCTGGCACATAGTGAGTGCTCAGTATATACTAGTTATTATTTAAAAGCAACAAGAAAACCAAGATAATGAACAGAAATGAGTAGAAAGCAACTTACAGCCATAAATTGCATGCAATGCCGTGTTTATCTCTACAGGAAAAGCACAGGAGGCTGAGGGTATGTGGTGGCAGAATTTCAAACCACCAGCGATTATTTAAGCAAGTGACATCCTGAGGCATGTTGGTGTCATGAGGAACCCTACATTTCTCCAGTTCTCATGAAGACCTGCACAGCCCTCGTGTTCTGACCTCACTCCTATCACTCACCTCTCCACTCGCACTGCAATGGTCACTTGGCCTCCTCACAGGGTCCTCTCAGGCACCAGCCACATCCTCTCTGTGGGGTCTTTGCACCTGCTCTCCCTCTGCCTGGATACTGAACCCCCAGCTACTCAGGGGGCTAGCTGGCCCTCTGTCTCACATCACGGCTCATGGGTCATCTCGTGAGAGAGGGCTTCCCTGACATCCCCCCACCATCACCATCACCTTGCCCTGCTTTGATGGTCTTCACAACAATATTCTGTCTACCTGGGTTGCTGTCTGCCTCCCCCACCTTGAGTGTAGGCTCCATCATACCCGGGACTCTGGTTGCTCTACTCACTGTGCGGACCCCATCACTGGAACCGTGCTCAGCATGAAGACATGAGGTGACGGCTTGACAAAGAATGGCTGATGAATGGCTTCCGGCCCCAGGGGGACACCATGGGATGCTACCCCTGATTCTGCCATTCATTTTTAAAAGGTTCTCCCCGAGATCTGTGAAACTCTGTACAACCCACACATTCTGATCAAGACTCTTACCCCATTGCTGAAATAGCAGCAGGAGGAGAGATTTCTTTTGGAGTTGCGTTGGTGTTTGGGTCGAAATTGTCGGTTTTGACAACAAAGAACTTTACGGTTGGATTTACAGCTCCTGCCTAGGAAAACACAATAACAATTGATATGGAAAAAAAAATATCCCATCATTGCACAGGTTTAAAACTGTACAAAAATGTCCACAGGAGAGCGATAAAATTATAATCATGAAACACGTTAAAAAATTTAATATAGGCAGACCTAATACAGATAGAATGAACACAAAAGAGAGTCATGAAGTGCAACTTTTTCATGTTCAGGCCGAAACATATATATTGACAGCTCCAAGCACTCCGTTTAAATCATGAACGTTCATAATTTAATGTGTTTTGTGCAAACAAGGATAAACTTTTTAAAAATCAATTCTATTATTTTGCAAAAATACTCTGACTCCAGAAGACAAGAAGTCTAATGGCCGACAACTAGGAAGAATACCTTGGGTTCAGCCAAAGACACAACCCACCAGGAAAATGAGTTTACCTGAGCCGAGAGCCAAAAACGGCTAATTGGAAAGACACCATTTGCACTCCAAATTCAAGCTCACCATGTTCAAACTTTACAATCAATATGATGACAGAAATCTACAAAACTTTTTTATATATACACATAGATCTTCAATTGACAAATTAATTAGAAATAATATATTTTTAGTGAGAGCATTTTATGGGTTTTTTTTTTTTTTGCTTTTTGCCAGTTTCACTCATCAAAAAATAACATTTCACTGAAAATACATCTCTATATTTAGTCTCGGATCTTTTTTCTTTTAACTTCCTCTGTCTTCCTAAAATGGCAGCTCTTCATGAAGCAAATTGAGTGAGTTAGTAAAAATAAAAATCCCTTTTCCCAAGTTGCTTACAGCAAAAACATTTACTATTAGATTTTCCTATAGATGATCCTGTGGCCATTAATATTATGACACTAGTGAAGAATCCTGGTTCCCTTCTAAATCCCCCTCTTCCTCAGCTTACACTGCTTAACAAAGCTGTTCAATTTTCATAAATATGCATCCCGGAGGAGGAGAACAGCCTTGCAAACCAAGATGTGAGACCATTATTCCAAACGCAGGACGTGTGAAATGCACATTAGTGCCCAATCTATACCAGAACCACTGAAACTAGTCATGTATCGGCTAATTAGCAATACAACCTGATATATAACTGAGCTTTTCAACTTCATCCAGGGCATATTCAACTTCTACAAATAAGAAGAGCTTGTGATTCAATGACAGCCTCTCTTTTCCTCCCTTGAAACATTTTCATTCCCCCTACCTCTTTCAAAAGCATTTTCCCCATCTTTTTCGGCTTGTCATTCCTCAAAGTTTTTGGAGAAATTACAAAACCTTAAATCACACTCTTTCCTGGGATAATAAAAATACTTTAAAATTGCCAGATGCTGTTGACTTCAGCAAGAGTAATCACAGTAAGCTGTTGAAGAGAGACTGACAATATTTTCATTAGCAGGAGAGGATTAAATGAAACCATTCTCTTCCCATCAAATCACGGAACCACTATGTGAATAGGAGCACAGACCTTTGGATATGGAATCCGCACAGTCTTTGGGTACTGCAGTGACTCGTCAGAGTAGAAGGAGTATTCAATAAGCGGGACTTCTGTGTCGTTAAATTGGGCATATGCTAAAAAAGTGCCTTTTGGAGACCACCACAGAGCAGAGTAGGTACTGAAGATTTCCTCTGAAAAAAGACATAAATTGTTCTGTTACAAGAAGTAGCTGATAAATTGGCTTTGGCATTCAAAATATTGTTCTCATTAGCTTTAGTAATTACAGTAGAGTTCAACTAATGAACCATTTTGCATTTGCTGGGCTTCCAAATTCAGAGTAATACAAATGAATAAAAATAAAATCTTCAAGGATAGATCTGGATTGTAAAAATAAGTAACCCGTTGGACCATTTTAGAATATTTTAGCACACAATATTTAATATAAGCTCTACTTTTTTTTTCTTTATCTTATAATCCTCTAAATTTATGCCGCAAAACATACTAAAAGTAAATTTCACACAAGGGGCTGATTCTCCTTTCTAATTTTCAAACAGTCAACATGCCAGCATACTCTTCCCAACTGGGCTCAGTTTGTACAGTGCCCACAGGATACTGGTGGGTGGTGGGTGGCTCCAGACTATCAAACTAATATGGTGCCCACAGTTTACTACTCTTGGCACAAACAGGGTGTGGGAAGGATGAATTTAGAATGACAAGGAGCTCCGTGAGACCCCTATTGAGAAACACCTCCTTCACTTAGCCTAGAAACTAAAGACTCCAGTGGATTAGCACGCCCTTCTGAGGCATACAGTGACGGTAAGAGAACAGGGTCGAAGAGAGAGGCAAGTGAAAGGAAAGGTCTTGCTCTCCAGAACGTTGTTGGACTCATTCTCTGGCAAATGTCGTTCTTTCCTATGTTCATTGTGGAGTCTATTCATGGGACTTCCAATCTCTGGCTCTTAAAATGCCAAAACCTTTTTGATGGAGGGTTCAGGTAGACTAGAGGGAGACTCCCAGTCCTTTATGCAGATTTAACCTACAAATCTCATGTTCTGGTACCGGTGTAAAGGCAAAAGCAAAAGCATAGAAACTTGAGTCTTAGAGTTCGGAAATCATCTGTCCCCATCACTTTTCTGATTCCCGAGGCCTCTTTACGGGTGTCTTCCAAATGCTTCAATAATAATAATCATGGTAATAGTAGTGGCAATAACAGCAACAGCAATAAAATAGTAACAAAATATAATTATCATGATGAGCAACTAACATTTAAAGAGTGCTAACCATGAGCTAGACTTGATAGGCAACCAACATCTATGATCTCCGGTAATCCTCACACAGTAGCTCATTGTGCAGGTGAGAAAGGAGCAGGCAGGCTTAAAGAGAAGAAGTCATTGCCCAGAGTCACATGGCCGGTAATTGAGTGAGTCAAGAATGAATCCAGACTGGTCTGGTTTGAATCCATGCTTCTCACCTCCGTGCTCTATGTCCCTCCATGCCTATTTCAGCTCTTCCGGTAACAGAAAACCTACTGGGTAAGGCAACCTGCTCCGGCTTTATCTGTTTTCTATCTACGTCATTAAGTTATGTTTATGTAGCAATTTAGAATTCACAAAACACTTATCTAATTTAGTCTTCACAAAGATCCCCAGGTGAGCCTATTCTATTCATATCCCATTTTACAGAGAAGGCAGCTGAGGGGCTTGGAGAGAGAGAATGAATCTCCAGAGACAAGACAAGGACACAGGCCATGCGACTCCGAGTCAAGGAGTTTCTACCAAGAACTTCTTCAGATCCTGAGTTGATGCCTCCTTCCCGTGGCTTCTACCCATTGGTTCTAGTCTAAGACCAAGATGCAATTACATAAAATGAATGCAATTACAGCAAGCTTATGGTTTTTAATACTGCTTTTAAGTACAGGTAGCAGGTAGTATCTGTGTTTTGAATTGGTGGGTATTTGTAATACAGAATATATTGTTCCATACCGTGATGTATTAAAACCATTATTATAAAACTACTTCTGGTCAAACTCAAAGTCCTGAGAATGAATAGTAGGGAGAAGGGAGGATAACAAAGGGGGAACAGATTTCCAGTCCTTCTTGTCACAAAGCTGACTGTGAGCACAAGTGTCTACAGCACCCCCTCCCCGACACTCTGAACCCCCCTCGCCATCCTGTGATACCTCAGTCCAGCCTCTCTGACCTTCCCTTGGACTTAGTGCCCTCCCCTGAATAGGTCCCTCGATTCACTCTATGACAATTATCCATTAGCATCTTTGTCTCCCTCTCTGGGCTGAATTCCCTGAGAGCAGCAGTTGGATAGCATTTGTCCCCGTGTCTCTAGAACCTGACACAGCACCTCATAGGTAGTTGGCACTCAGTGTGGATTGCCCTGAATTACCCACACCCCCACTGTCAGCACGACTACTATAGGGTAAGGAATGCCCCATCTTCCAAACTTATTTCTTTCTCTATCCATTTTCATCCTCGCTCTCAAAATTCTCATTCTCACCTCTGGGTTAGGTAAACTATACTCATGCTTAAGAGTGACTGTTGAATCACAGACCTGTACCTCTGAAACAATAATACATTACATGTCAAAAAAAAAAAAAGAAGATAGCAGGAAGGGAAAAGTGAAGGGGGGGAATCGGAGGGGGAGATGAACCATGAGAGACTATGGACTCTGAGAAACAAACTGAGGGTTCTAGAGGGGAGGGGGGTGGGAGGATGGGTCAGCCCGGTGATGGGTATTAAAGAGGGCACGTACTGCATGGAGCACTGGGTGTTATACGCAAACAATGAATCATGGAACACTGCATCAAAAACTATCATGTAATGTAACATAACATAATTAAAAAAATTTGAAAAAGAAAAAAATAAACCTTATTTGATAAATAAAAAAAAAGAAGAGTGAATGTCATGTGATTAACTTCATACTAGGAGATAAAGTATTATTATTTTTACAAAAGAAGGCACTTGTTAACTAAAGTAATAATCAGTTAGAAAATCATGAAAGAAGACAAAGTGAAAACATCGAGACATTGAGAGAGAAAGTCATTTGGGAACCTGGGGTGGGGCAGGGGACACACGTCCCAGACAGTAGGCTGCTCTATGAGTGTCCCTCCATGATGTGGCACATGGCCCTGTCTGGACCTTGCAGCTTTGTTTCTTCTTTTACTTATGAACCTACGGATTCTCAAAATGTACTCTTTCAGTCCTATACTCAACAAGTCTTCATGGCTGCAGTGGAGACACTCCATGGGAGGGTGGATCTCATATATGGAGACACGAGTGTGCCCTTCCAAGTATGGATCATTCATAAATATATAAAACCAATTATAGGAACTTCCCCAAAGGAACCAAAGTCCTGTTTTTTAGAGACAGGCCCACACTGGAACTGGGAAGCCATTCTTCTGTTTGTCATTAACACGCAAACTGAGATCTTTCCAGCTCTTAACTACCTGAGAAAGGACTAATAGTGTTAGGTGTGTTCTTATCCTAGAGACACTCAGATGTTTCGAGGAGGGGTCGAGTTGCAGCTTTGGGAAGAGGCGTTATCCAGGTCCCTTTGGGGCTCCTACAGGTTGTGCTTTGCTGTCCAACAAGCATTAAAGATGTTTTTCAATTGCTAAGTGACGAGCACTAGTAAATTTCATTATATATTATTTCTGGGCCGTGGGGATTTATCTTTTTTTTAAAAGTGATTTTTGTTGTTGTTGTTGTTACAATGTTAGGCTATTTAATTGAACCTGACTTGAACTGGGTAAGAACCAAAATTAAGTCATGAAGAAAAACTTTTTTTTTCCTTTTAACTATGAGGAAGAAATAAGAGGATGAAATAAGGATGAGTACTTAATAAGCATTAGGCAACCTTGTGAACAGTCTGGAACAGCCTCAAAAATGCCTTTTACTTTGGCAACTATGGACGTGAAAAATGTTTCTCTAATATTTTCTAAGACTCTATCCTAAAAGAGAGAATAATCCTTTTTAATATTTTTAGTTCTGTTTTTTTTTGTGCTGATTTTTCCCCCAGAAGCCTTTCGAATTATTTTTTCCTTCTTTAAAAATAGGAAATTATGATTTGTCCAAGTTCAAATGAACACAAATCCTCTGTAAAACAGATGCTTTCTTCCCCCTCTATTCCCCAACCTCCAGACAATATTTTGTCAGCTCTTGGAATGCTGTGGGAGTATTTAATTTTCCTTAGTAACTCTGGGTTAGGTAGGCCCCGTTAGAGAAACATCTGATGTTAATCTGGAAGCTTTTATGCCCCAGTAAAGCAGAAAAGCTACCTACACAGAAAGGCCCTTTGTAGGAGACAGAAGACAATAGGGGCATTGAGAGACAATGAGGACATAGGCGAAACCAGCTACTGCTAGGAAATCCTTGTTCTGGGAGACACCTGGTATTGTGAGTGCTAAAGAGATTTGATATCATTTTTAAAAATGCAACTTATTTTGAATGCCATTGGATTTCTCCATTTTAAGAGAAATGTTTAGCTACTTAAAAAAAAAACACAACAACTTATAGATTTTCTAATTTGAAAAAGCTTTAAAGTCTCTACCTTCATAAACCCAGTCAGTTATTCCATTGGATATTACATTTTCTTCCCCCGTCCACGTGATCCTCTGACTTGATGAATTTGGTTCATTTTTAACATAAACATCATTGTTCCAAACATATGCCTAGAAATATTGAAAAACAGATTGGTAAGTAATAACCTGTTATAACATATCTTATCCTGGAGTTAAAAGATATCTATCAACTGTCTTATCCTCATATAATATTGGTATGCAAATGTAATGATTACCTTGGGCTATTCAATTTGAGCAAGATAAAGTCATTTACTAGCCCCCTCACATTATTTATTTATATATTTTAAAGATTTTATTTATTTATTGGAGAGCGAGAGCACAAGCAAGGGGAGGAGCAGGAGAGAAGGAGAGGGAGAAGCAGGCTCCCCACCAAGCAAGTAGTCTAATGGTGGCGGGGGGGGGGGGCTCAATCCCAGGACTCCAGCCAGGATCATGACCTGAACCAAAGGCAGACGCTTAACAGAATGAGCCACCCAGGCGCCCCACCCCTCACATTTTTAAAATTATAAGTGTACAAGCTATAACTTCCAAATAATTCTAAAGACACTCAATATATTAAAAAGAAGCGGCTCACAAACAGCACTATTTGAATGCTAGAGTGCCTGCAAAGACCCAGGAGTCTGACCATTTCTACAGAATTAATGTGTGCTTCCCATTGCTTTCTGGGGGCGGTGAGTTGAGGGAGTGCTTTCGAGGTCAGGAGGGAGAATTCCATCTACAAATGAACATCCCGTCTTCCTGTTCAGATTCTTTTGGACTTCTGACAGTCTCCCAGCACTAAGAACATGAAGGAAGAACACGAAAGTATATCTACAGGGACACAGAGATCACAGAACTAGCAGGAAGCAGATATGCCCCCCCAAACAAACAAACAAACAAAAACAGCAAACTGAATACAACAGAAATTAGAATTTAGGAGTTAAATGTTATATATATTTTTCCAGTAAATAAAGAATTCCCCAGTAGTAGTTCAGAAACTTTCAGGAATCCTATTTACTGTGTTAGACTAGTAAAATGCTATTTTAGGCAATAACGCTATCTCTGATGGTGAAGTATTTGCTTCCTAAGTGTCTGCTCTGTATCAGGGTATGTAGCTTCTGCATGTGATAGCGTTGAGCCATTATTTTTTTCTGACAACAGAAGAGACTCACTAACCAATTTATGACCCTCTGGTGACCATGTGATCCACTGTGTGTTGTTTGGAATTTTCTCTTCTGTAACTAGCCTCCTGAAAAAAAGATAAAAGGAAACATTACCAAATGAATAAATCACAGTAGGATTTCTTTTAAAAAAAATGTTATTACACTAAAGAAGCTTAATAGATTTTATAAGGAAGTCACTGACCTTTTAGCTAAGTCATAGATGTCATATGAAGCTGTGTAAGAATGTCTCCATTGCTATAAAAGAAAACAGACATCTCAGACTTCTGTGATTCTTGATAGTTTGGCCACTTGCTATAGGAGCACAAGATGAGATGTAAAGTAATATGACATTGTATAATTCTCACATCTTATCATGTCTTGTAATTCCTATCCCAATCCTTAGAATTCTGGAATTAGGAAGAGATTCTTAGAGACCATCTAGTACCAAGTCCTCTGGACCTCATCTGTAACCTCGCTCTGGCATCACCCCTGCCAAGGAAACTTCTCAGGGTCACAGTGGGCTGATGTGTTTGCTTCATGGCAAACATCACTCCTAGCATTTACCATAGCATGGGAAATCCACCTGTCTAAGAAAATACAAATTTTATTTATGTATTTATTTATTTTTTTAAAGTTTTTTTTAATTTATTTGACAGAGAGAGACACAGCGAGAGCGGGAACACAAGCAGCAGGGAGCAGGGGAGGGAGAAGCAGGCTTCCCGCTGAGCAGGGAGCCCGATGCGGGGCTCGATCCCAGGACCTTGGGACCATGACCTGAGCTGAATGAAGGCAGACGCTTAACAACTGAGCCACCCAGGCGCCCCGAAAATACAAATTTTATACTTTTCAACCATCCTACTGACAAAATCTTTAAAGGATCTATAATTCTATTGCTGGTGGTGATGTGGAGAAATACTTACTTTCCTACTTTGATCATGAAAATATAAAGTGCTACAGATTTTTTGAACGCCACCTGCCAAACAAACAAACAAAAACACCCCCCCCAAAAAACAAAAAACCCCCCTGACAATATATATTAACACTGAAATATATATATATATGCCATTGATATTCCCAAGAATCTAAAAAATGAAAAGCAAACCAAATCCAAATAAATGAGAAGAAATAATAAAAGTAAAACTAGTAATCAAATAGAAAATGCACAATAAAGAAAAATCAACGAAGCCCCAAACTGGTTCTCTGAAAATTGCTAATGCAGTAAGAGGGAGGGGGGAAAAGTATGAATGACCAATAACAGAAACGAAAAATGGGATTAAAAGGTTTTAAGACTCTATTACAAACATTGTTTTGCCAATAAATTTAAAAGTTTAAAAAGGGACAAATTCCTTGGAAAACAATTTATCAAAACTCAGACAAGAAAAAATGGAAAATCTGTATAGTCTTATATCTAAAAAACATATTGAATCAATAAATAAAAGCATTTGCACAAAGGAAACTCCAAACCCAAATAACTTTATCAGCAAACTCCTTGTTATTTAACCAAATGAACTAAAAACTTAAACATATACAAAAACCCTCTACAAAATTTTTAGTTTTATTCATAATTGCCAAAACTTAGAAGAACCAACATGTCCTTCAATAGGTGATGGGTAAACAAACTGTGGTCCATCCAGACATTGGAATATTACTTAGCAATAAAAAGAAATGAGCTATTACATCACAAAAAGCCGTGGAGGAATCACACATGCATATTTCCACATGAGAAGCCAATCTGAAAAGGCTATATATTGTATGATTCCAACCATATGACATTTTGGAAAAGGCAAAATTACGGAGACAGTCAAAAGATCAGTTGTTGCTAGGGGTTTGGAAGAAGGGAGGGATGAAGAGCTGGAGTGAAAATATACTGCATGATACTGGAATGGTGGATACATGTCATTATACATTATAGATTTGCCAAAATCCATAGAATGTATGACAACATTAGGATTGTTGGAGACAACAACCTAATGAGAACTATGGACTTTAGTTGGATATAACGTATCAATAATGGCTCATCAATTGTAACGAATGTACCCTACTAATGCAAAATGTTAATGATAGGGGAAACTGGGACAGAAGTTGGGGGGGGGGATGATGAGGGAGTATGTGGGAACTCTGTATTTTCCACTTATATTCTGTAAATCTAAAGCTGTTCTAAAAAGAATTAAGTCTATTAATTTAGAAATAAATGAATTCAAGCTATGCCAGATAACTTGGAAGAAGTTCCACACGGAATCATTGAGAAATGCAAATTACAGAAAAGTATGGAAAATAGGATTTTATTTTTTATAGAATAAGCAATGACTAAAAGAATATCTTCATAGAATTATTTGAATAAGGGGGAAAATTTAAAATATGGAGAGATATATACTAGGTTCTTAACATGTGATACTTAGGGAAAAGGGGGGGGGGTGAGGAGTAGGGAGCCAGGCATAAGAGGGAAAAAAGATAAGACTGAAGATTATATATATATATATATATGTACATATATATACACATACAGATTTGCATTTATGAAAAATTATGTTTATATGTGGATGCATTTATACATTAAAGATATTTTAAAAGAAATGACATGTCTTCATGTCTGTCTTCCCTACCATAATCCTAGATGTAAGAAATTGTGTCTTTAAATCTATGAAGTCTTGTCTAGAGTAAGCCACATAGTCTCTGTTCAAGAAATAAACCAAACTAACATAAAAAATAAATTTTACCCATGAAAATGAAGTAGATGAAATGGGTAGCCAAGGTACCCAGCTTGTGTATGACAGAGCTGAGACACAAGCCAGAGGTTCTAACCTTGAAGAGTATTTCCCACTTGTCATTTATCATCCTCTTATTCTCTCATGTCAATAATTATGTATTAAAGCCTTACTTTTTGCAAGTCATACATTTTTTTTTTTTAAATCCTGGATTATTTTCACACAATCCATGCTTGTTTCTGGGAAACCTCTGAATGCTCTACTTGTAAGAGCCAAAAGGTGTGCTACAGGCTAAAAATATTAAGATGTTTGAGAAGGTTTGATATCACTCAGGACAACAGATCCATCATGAGTTACAAAAGGATGTTTGGTATGTTCACTATCTTTTGAAACAGACTCATCCATCTATTTAGGTTAGAAACTCTGGCAACTATCCTCTGTCAGGCATTACTGGATAAGACAGGCTCACTCTCTCTCTCTTTGAGGAGCTCATAGTTGAATGGGGATATGGGCAAGTAAATACAAGAAAAGAATCACAAGACATATAACAAAGGTAAGTGGGGAGAGGCAGGAATCATAAATGAGACCTTGAGGAGGGAGAAAGGTCTACAGAAAAGCTGATTGTTAGACTGAGTCTCAAAGCAGAGAACTGCCACATGGGGAAGGGGTTAAAAAAGCATAGCAGAGAGACACTGAAGCACAAAGTTGGGAAAGATTATGTTTAAGAGCACAAGCTTTGGAGTCTTCTAACCTGGATTCAAGTTTGGCTATACACTGAATGTATGCTGCCCACCCCCCACCATTCATATGTTGAAATCTTAACCCCCAATGTGATGGTATTAGAGGTAGAGCCTTTGGGAGGTAACTAGCTCATGAGGGTGGGGCTCTCATGAATGGGATTAGTTCCTTTATAAAAGAGACTCCCAAAATACTCCACACCCCTTCCTCCATTTGAGGACATGGAGAAGAAGGTTCAACTATGTTCCATGAAGTGGGATGTCACCAGACACTGAATCTGCTAGCACTTTGATCTTGGATTTCTTTCTTAGCTTCCAGAACTCTGAGAAATAAATGTGTTAGTAACCCACCCAGTCTATGGGACTCTGTTGTAGCAGCTTAAATAGACCAAGACAAGTCTTCACTGTGTTAATATCAGGCAAGTTTCTTTCTAAGCTTTAATTTTCTTTCTAGGAAAATGGGCTAATGTCAGCAACGGTCTCATGAGAGGTTCATGAGAATATATGTGAATTGCTAAGGAGGGCCCTAGAATATTGTCCACATGTCACAGTTGATGCAACCATTATCTCGGGGGCATTCAGCAGTGAATGGATGTGCTGGGCGAACATCCATACCAGGCTGTAGGGTCCTTATTTATGTTTTCACTCACGTGCTCACTTACTTGTTTGTAGCCACAACGTAGAAGTAATATTGCTCTTTCTGAATGCACTAACTCTGTCATGGAAAAGCCATGGAGTAGAATCTAAAGAACTTTGCACAGTAGACCTCCAAGGAAATAGAATAAGACTAGACTTTTCTTTGTTCTGGATAAGTTTATTGAGAACTGATAAGTCAACTGGAATATTGTAAGCATGTGAAAGACGATGCAACTATGATTAATGCTGGAGCATTAGGCAATGAGTAGAAATTATTGTAAGTTGCACATGTATGCTGTACAGAAAATCCTCTAAGAAGTAAAATAGAAGAAAATAGAAGATTGTCTGCAATCAAAGATATGAAGAGAGTAAAATAAGCTAATGTGATAGAGAGTGAATGGTGGCGTGTGGGAGAACAGAGTGGCAGGGTGCAAAGTTAGGTAAAGCAATCTGAGAAAGCTTATACCTGAATTACTAAAAAGCGAACCCGTTAGATAAACAGGGGAAGAAGGTTCCAGGAGGAAGCAATAGCAAATACTTTGGCCCTCAGATGGGAATGAACGATGCTTGAGAAAACTAAAGAGTGGTGCCCCTAGAGGTTCTTGGATCACTGAATCACCTGGGAGTCCTTAAATCATGGGGGGAGCCCATGCCTGCCCCCGCCTCCCCCATCACTGCACTGAACTAGTTGGTGTGGGGTAGGCTGCAGGCATCTGCATTTTTAAAAACCTCCATAGGTAACTGCAAGGTTCAGGCAGGGGTGAGAAGCATTGGCCAAGCACGGTGAGTCCAGAGAGGGTAATAGATGATGGGTTAGCAAGGGCGGACTGAGGTCCAATCACACAGGCTTCTGACGATGCTGTGGTTAGAGTCTGTGTTTTATCCTGATCATGAGGGGTTAGGCATAGGCATGATACAACCTAACTTAAGTTTTAAAAGGAGCACTATGGGTACTGTCTGAAAAGCATGGACGGTGGTGGGATGACGGAATAGAACGAAAACAGCAAAAGCAGTTAAATGTGCATGGAAACTCCAGTGACACCACAAATACAAATTACCAATGATGGCTGTCCAGTGAAATCATCCATTAGTAAACATCATATGACACCTACTGAACTTGGCCAAAGAGTAAATTGAGCTGGTATTTACCTTTCTGTTTCTACCTTAACCTCATCGTCTTTCTAAGTTTGTCCTGAACATGGGAAATTATTATTCAGTGGTTCTCAACCCGGGTTGATCATTCAAATAATCTACCCATTAAAAAAAAATGATGTCAGCCTCACTCCAGAGGCTATAATTTATTAATCTGGGGATTGGACCTGGCCACTGGGAATTTTTAAAAGCTAATCAAGTGATTTTAATCTCGAGACAGCAATAAAAACCACTGAATTAAATAAACAATCCATTAATTGGGAACAGATATGTTAAAGTTGGCCTAGGATTCGGACTGGCTCCTAGCTGATAGGTTTAGTAGAATAGAGTCAGAGTCTTCGTGTCCAGGAAGTGGAGCTAGACACAGTGAATCCAGGGTAAATATTATGATTGAAAGTCACCACATTGAAACGGGAAATGGAGTAGGAGATGGTTTGCTTGGCCTGAGTATAGAAGTGTTGGGGTGCGAGATAAGGCCCCTCAGAATTTATTATTTATTCTAGAATAAAAAGGCAGAGGTGGGGATCCCCAGCTTTATATTTTGTGTTCAATGCAGAATATCCCTACAGGGTTTTAACGTTTCCTACAAGTCTCAAAACTTCCTATACTTGACAACTGTTGTCAAATCCAGGAATAATTAAAAAGCCACAGTTAAAGCTGCTGGCGCTTTGCAGCCAGCCTAACCATGAAGAGGATATGTGATTAAGCTTTCCTGAGGTGTGAGAATCTAATGTTGGGCTGAGGGTCCCCCTTGAGAATGGTTTGTATATGGTAGGACCCAGAGGTTGTAAGGTGGTCTGAGTCACCTTGCAGAGTCTCTTCTGGAGGATAAGAAGTATAAATCTTTTTAAGGCAAATACTTATTGAGAGTTTTATTTTATGTAAAGCTAAGACAAAGGAAATAAGGGGTTCTATTACTGGCTGTGCAAGTCAGACACGTAAGCTTGCTTTTAAATTGTAAGTTTTCTTTTATTAACTTATGCTTTTAGTATCTATATTACTTACACTTTTTAGCATTTGAAAACACTAAAAATGAATTTCTTTTAAAACATTTGTTGGACCTACCTTTTATGAATGAGAATGGCTATTTCTTCTTTTGATGCTGAATTAATGAGTTTTTAGTGCCTATTATATTACCTAGGTGTCAATCTTTTTTTTTTTTTAATTTAAATTCTGTTAGTTAGCATATAGTGCAATATTGGTTCCTGGAGTAGAATTTAGTGATTCGTCACCTACATACAACACTCAGTGCTCATCACAAGTGCCCTCCTTAATGCCCATCCCCCATCTAACCCATCCCCCACCCACTTCCCTCCATCAACCCTCAGTTTGTTGTTAAGAGTCACTTGTACTTAGGTGTCAATCTTAAATATTTGTGGACTTCAAATCAGTTATAAAGTAACTCATAGGATTCTTTAAATGTCACAGTAAGATAGCATTTCTTTTACCTTCACATAGTTGTACTCTAAGAGAATAAACTGTCCATCAGGAGATACCGAATAATCATTTATAGAGTGTTCAAATTCCTCCTGTCAAGCAAGTAGAAAAAAGAACAATTGAACAATTTCATTTAATGGTCATTATTGAGCACTTACTATGTAGAGGGTATGGTTCTAGACAGACAGGTGGCTCATGCCTTGGGAGCTGCCAGAAATGTCACATTCCCCCACACAAATGACCATGATGTAAGGTGTATGGTGATCAGGGTTAGAGAACCAGGGAGGGAAGAATTAAATCTAAGCAAGGAAAGATGGCCATGAGGGTAGGGATCAGGAAGAGAGAGAGGGGGAAGAGCATGAGCGAAAAACCAGATGTAGGAAAGGGCATGTGTATCCAGAGGTTTGGCGTAACCTGAGTACAATATAGGGTACATCAGACAGCATATAAAAGAGGACGTAAAAATTAAAAAAATAGCTGGGACTGAAATATAAGAAGTGGAACTTTAATCCACTTTTTGAACATGGATGTGATAGAATCTTATCTGTCTTTACAAAGATGCTCTGGGACATGGTGGCAGACATGCGATGAGAGGGGTTGCATCAGCCCTGGACCTGGGCAACCCAGTGGTCTCCTCTACAGAATGGAGATAGGGACACAAGTACTAGAGTACTAACACAGATTAAAAAGGCCTTGAACCAGGACTCTACAGCGGAAATAGAAATCTGAGGGACACAACATTGCAGAGGGAGAAGTGATAGGGTTTGTTGAATAACTAAATATGAGGGATGGCAGAGGAATCAAGGAGGATTCTGAGGATTCAAGGAGTAGAATTTCACTTTTTAGCCTAAGTGACTTGGAGGGGAGCATACTTTACCAAGATTGGGAACTCAGGAAGAGGAATGGGGTGCTTTTGGTTTGCTAGGAGAGCAAAGGGGAAATAACTAGCTGGGCTTGGGATACTGAGTTTAAAATACCGGCAGGCCATGGGTGGGCCAGGAGCAAGCAAGCTATTAGAAAGAGATTTTGATCTTGGCAGGAGGTTAGTGTTGAAAGTGTGCATTTGAGAATCAAGGCCAGACAGGAGAGCCCTGTTGCTGTGAGTGCATGAAATTCACTGAAGGAGAACAGGCAAACTGCGGAAGAAGCCAGCAAGGGAAGACAGAGCCCTGAGGGGCACTTACGCTTAGGAGTATGGGCAGAGGAGGAGGAATCGTCAAGGGAGACTAAAAGGTAGCCAAGGTAGGGAGCATTCCAAGAAGGAGAGAAAGATCCACTGTGTCATATGCTGCAGAGAGAGTTCAACAGGATGAGAAATGATAGTACTCATGATTTGAAAGGTTATGAATAAAAATCCTCAGCATTTCCTTAGCATATACATGAATTATGCAATCAAACATACAAATGTACTGTTTTCCAGGAAAATGGAGCTGTTTCCGTATTCAGCATTGAATAGCAAGATATTATTTTCTTGTTTGTAGAGGTATTCCTGATCTAAAGAAAGAAAATGGCTGGATCAGTATTTCAAGTTGTGATTAAAAGTCTTCATAAGCTAAAAATGATACAGAAAAAAACTTAAGGTTTAAGCTCACACAAGTACTAAATAAGCATTTCTAAGTTGGAAAAACATTAAGTGATGAATATTACATTAGTATGCATTCATTTTCCCATCATTATTGTCAAAGTTTCAATTCACTTTTAACTTTTTATAATCCGCAACAAAGAAATACTAAGGTTTATTTTCCTTTGTACCTGTAAGCAGAGAAAAATACTTTCCCATATGGTTTAACAAAACAAAGGTGCCCCACAACCTAACTAGAAGGAGCACAAGTATAAAAATCTGTCCCCTCCCCAAAAAAGTCCTTACCTGAAATCCAACGCAGGGAGTAGAATTTCATCCTAAAAGTATTTTTTAAATAATCAGTTAGAGTGTAAGTTCTGCGGCTGTCAGCTGCACCATCATCTGTTGATTAAAAAACAGCCAAATGTTCAGTAAGATGGAATAACTTAAGTTTGGGATAAAATAAACAAATGGATCACTGCAATATACACTGGTCACAAACTATAGGAATTACACTCACAAAATGCAAAACACATTCTAAAAGATTTCAGGCTGGATGGATGGAGTAGAAATGCACTTAACTGTTAAAGCATATGTGAGTGGTGCGTCTCCCTGAGCTATATCAGTGCCTGAATTAGTGAGTTTCCTTATGAAGGTCTAGATCCGCAAAATCCAATGGAAATATTAATGTGAGTCCATTTTCTAGTAGCCATATTTAAAGATTTGTAAGGTGAAAATAATTTTAGTAGCATATTTTATTTAGCCCAATATATTCAAAATATTATCATTTCAACATGGAATCAATATTTAAATTTTATTAATGAGATCTTTCACATTCTTTGTTTTTATACTACTTCTTTGAAATCCAGTATGTCGTCTATGATTACAGCATGTCCCAATTTGACTAGGCACACTCCCGGTCAGTAGCTATAGGTGGTCATGTAGTAGATGGCACAAGGCTAGGCTATCCTGCTTTGAGGCCTGAAGGTTCCTTTCCAAGTTCTCTTGCTTTGCACGGACCTTTAAGACAGGGTGATCGCCTAATTCATTGATCTTTGTTTCATTACCTTAGCCTTCCACACCCCAAACTCACATTTCTAGTGCTGTGTTGGGCCTTCTTAGTTGGCTTGTCCCATACTAACTCTAGACTTACCTTGTCTAAAATAATCGTCTTACTTCCCAAATAATTTTCCCTAGGCAATTTGTGTGGTTTTAGATTCTGTCACTGGAAACCCATATTCAAAGTTTGAAAATCATTTTTGATGTCTCCCTCTCTCTTACTACCACCTGCATCTAGTTAACCCTGTTGATTCTTCCTGTGAAATCGTTCTTCCGGGTATCCTGCCCTTAGTCTCTCCCCAGTCCAATGCCCCCACTGTACCACCCCTGGAATGATTTTTCCAAAATGCCACTTTCATCCCAGTGACCTTTTCCTCAAAAGCCTCCCTGGATTTGCCATTGCCTACGGAAAGATTCCAACTCCTTAGTGTGGCACTCATGGGCTCCACAGTCTGGCATGAGCCTCTCCAGCCTCATTTCCACTCACTCCATGCATGAACCCTCTAACCCACTCACACTGATTGCCTACGGGACCCAGTAAGCCTTCTTTGGCTTTTCTTTCTTTTTTTTTTTTAAAGATTTTATTTATTTATTCGACAGAGAGAGACACAGCGAGAGAGGGAACACAAGCGGGGGAGTGGGAGAGGGAGGGGGAGAAGCAGGCTTCCCGTGGAGCAGGGAGCCCGATGCGGGGCTCGATCCCAGGACGCTGGGATCATGACCTGAGCCGAAGGCAGACACTTAACGACTGAGCCACCCAGGCGCCCCTTCTTTGGCTTTTCTGTCTTGCGGTTTGTCCCAAGCCTCTTCTCTGCAGTGTCTCCAACTGCTTCCCGGACTGCCAACTCCCTCCTCTCTCATCTAGACTTCAGTGTTGCCTCCTCTGATTTTTGCCCCCACACTACTCATTTGGCTTTCGTAATTAATAACTTCTGGGCAGTAACTATTTTTCCATGCCTACCAGTGTGGTGGACTGAGCTAGGCCAAATACTCATTGATGAAAGGGCCTTGGGTTGTTTGTTTATCTTTCATCAATTTAGTACCTAGCACAGATCTATGTCATAGTAGGTATGACGCAGGATAGCATTCTACGAGCCTAATGAAGTCATTGTGATTCCCCAACCACAGACCCGCCGCTGATGACAAACAGCCTAAAGAGTTCTTCCATACACTCTATTCTTTCCACATACTTGCAAGCATACACTCATAAAATCAGGCACCATCCTAACTTTTCTATAACTGTTCTTACTCTTCTGGGGATTGAAAAGACAGTAGCAGCTTCTCTTGTTAGTTTTTTACAGTCTGTGGAAAGAGAATTCTCTCACAAGAAATGCTCTTGCAAAAGATGTTCTCAAGATTTTATTTCTCTGGATCTTATAACATAGCCTTGGGTCTGCCTACAAAACTTTCAGTTTCAATAGATAAAACTGTTACACTTTATTACTTTATTGATTTTGTTTAAGCCTAGTTTGCTAAAGAAGTTAAAGATTAAAAAACAAAACAAAACCATTTGTTTGTTTTTTCAATTTGGGCCTGCATTTCACCCTGGAAAATTAGCAAGATATTTGTATTTGTTAGCAGAGATAGAGCAAATGGGTAAAACCAGCCCTTGAACTTGCCAACTTTCAAACAAGAAGTAAAGCCCTGTGCTACAGAAAATATTTGAAACTCTAATAAATTTGTAAATTTATTCACTAAATACCCTCAATTGTTTGTATTCATCCAGTTATTCTTTGATACATCAAATAGCTATAAAGTAAGTACTATTTGAAAAATACTGTTGAGGAGATATACCCTGCTATCAAGAGCTATTAGCCTAAAATGGACACAAAAGACATTCTAAAATTAGTACAACTCAAGGTATAAATGGTTATAGACCTTCAGAGTCCTATATTACCTGCTGATCTAGATGTCTAGATAGACCATTGTATATGAACAATGTATACATACACACGCACACACACTTACATTGCAATGAACTAAATGTTTCTGTCCTCCTACAATTTGTATATTGAAATCCTAATCCCCAGTGTGATGGCATTAGGAGATGGGGCTTTTGGGAGGTGATTAGGACATGGGGGTAGAGCTCTCATGAGTACCCTTATAACTTAGTGCCCAGAGGACTCTCTTGTCCCTTCCATGTGAGGACACAGGAAACAGGCCCTCACCAGACACTAGACACATAATCTGCCAGTGCCTGAGTCTTCCCAGCCTCCAAAACTATGAGAAATAGACACTTGCTGTTTGAGCCACCCTGTCTATGGTGTTTTTGTTAATGCAGCCTGAACAACCTAAAACGTATATATCTAATAAAACAGTCATATCTTTCACTGCCTCTTGATTTTGTAAGGAGAGAATTAACCGAGTACTTATAACAGATGACGCGTACAGTGTTCTCTCATTTAAATGTTATCCCATGTAAGGGTATTTGCCCTGGTTTTTTTAGGATAACACACTTAAATCTGGAATATTAAAATAATTGAGGCAAAATTCCCATGACGTCACCCGCTGCCCAGGGCGCCACCCTTCACATTTCATGATGCATGACTCACTGAGCACTTAACCTCTCCCCTGTTTCAGACAATGCTGAGCTCATTCTCTCCTCAGGCCATAGCGTTCCTAGACCCATCATGTCTACCATGTTTGGGCTCCTACCATGTTTGCTCATAATGGGCCCAGGATAATTTTAATCCATCTGCTGATGTCCCAGATATCAACCCTGATGCCACACTCCTGCTATGGCCCAGGACATCTGTGAAGGCCCGGGCCACCTCTGGTTTGTGTCAGGCTCGCTCAGCCACTTAAAGATGACCCCGCAAGCTGCTTTCCACCTCCTGGCTACCCAGTGCCAGAACAGCGCTGCTGAATTGGAGCAAATCAAGCAACAAATGTTCCCTGTTTTTTTGCCTTGCCATTTGATAAGCAGTGCACATTGGAAGATGCATCTGAAACATCTAGATAAGTGAGTTCTGTAAAACGTGAGTGCCAAGTCCAGGTTTTGACCTTTAGCAAGTTCCTAGTTTGTTGCCAAGTTACAACCTATTCTGTCAAACACTTACAGGACACGCTCATGTTTCTTTCCCCTTGTCTCCTTGCTCACTGACAGGGCACTGCTGTGGCAACAGATAAAGGTCTTTGGCTGCTTGTGTGGTTTTCCTGGTGGGCCTGGGACATGTAGTTCATTTGACTTACCAGTTCAAAGCATTATGCTAGCCAAGTAAAGCAGTTAATCATACGTTACCCATCTTTTATAGAAACTCTTAGATTCACGTCTTCTTGAATTTCAAAATCAAAAAAAAAAGGTTAACAACTTTAGATTTTACTTTTTTGATGAGAACAGCTATTGGGTTGGACCATATGAAAATGTCATTTTTATCAGTCAAAAATTGTAGAATAGCAGTATTTAAAATGACTCAACCTAATAAGAAATTCTTATCAAAGTGAATGGTATCTCAATGCATTTTTTTTTTTTTAAGATTTTGCTTATTTATTTGACAGAGACAGAGCGAGAGAGTGAACACAAGCAGGGGGAGTGGGAGAGGGAGAAGCAGGCTCCCCGCGGAGCAAGGAGCCTGGTGTGGGGCTCGATCCCAGGACTCGGGATCATGACCTGAGCCGAAGGCAGACACTTAACGACTGAGGCATCCAGGCGCCCCTCTCAATGCATCCTTGTTGTAGGACCAAATCATTTCTGAATAAAAGTATTTCCAAAATTATAAGATCCAAGTAAGGATGTAGTGTGGTTCCATGGAATCGTCTTGCCTTGACCACTTGTTACTTTATGATTACAGAATAATTTGAATATTTTGTATACATTAATAATAAACTTTTTTGTCTGTATTGGGCTATGATATATAATATTTCTACTTCACAAAGATAAATTGTTTTGGTAAATAAATGGCTAATGAAATGCAACTAAAAAGAAATGTGCTCTTTAAGCTCATAAACTTATTAAGTTGTTAAACACAGGGAAAAGATATCTGGTTATAGAGCTCTTGGGTTCCATATGGTAATTAGTTAACATTTTGTATTGATGCTAAAGAAATGAAACGAGTGTTGCTTCAGAATTTGCCACAGCAAAATAGCAGCCTTGACATAGGGACAGAGGAAGCAAAATCAAGAAGGCAGAAGAAGAAATTGATTGGAAGGCACTTCATACCCTGTATTATCCAGTAGCATATGCAGGCAGGCTACCACCCATCTGAATTGATCCAACAGATACCAATAAAGTGTTGGGTCCTCGGTGGCTTTGAAATCGGAGAGCCTGGATTTCAGCCTAGGTCTAATTCTTGCACTGAGGCCTTGGGAAAATTTCCGAATCTTTCCAAACCTCAGCTTTTTAA